ATCTACACTACCTGTGTGGGGTGTTACACCTGCTAGTTGAAGCTAGATCTACACTACCTGTGTGGGGTGTTACACCTGCTAGTTGAGGCTAGATCTACACTACCTGTGGGGTGTTACACCTGCTAGTTGAGGCTAGATCTACACTACCAGTGTGGGGTGTTACACCTGCTAGTTGAGGCTAGATCTACACTACACCTAGTTGAAGCCAGATCTACACCTGCTGGAGTGTTACACCTGCTAGTTGAGGCTAGATCTACACTACCTGTGTGGGGTCTTACACTCTGCTAGTTGAGGCTAGATCTACACTACCTGTGTGGGATCTTACACCTGCTAGTTGAAGCTAGATCTACACTACCTGTGTGGGGTCTTACACCTGCTAGTTGAAGCTAGATCTACACTACCTGTGTGGGATCTTACACCTGCTAGTTGAAGCTAGAGCTACACTACCTGTGTGGGATCTTATACCTGCTAGTTGAAGCTAGATCTACACTACCTGTGTGGGGTGTTACACCTGCTAGTTGAAGCTAGATCTACACTACCTGTGTGGGATCTCACACCTGCTAGTTGAAGCTAGATCTACACTACCTGTGTGGGGTGTTACACCTGCTAGTTGAAGTTAGATCTACACTACCTGTGTGGGATCTTACACCTGCTAGTTGAAGCTAGATCTACACTACCTGTGTGGGGTGTTACACCTGCTAGTTGAAGCTAGATCTACACTACCTGTGGTGTGTTACAGCTGCTAGTTGAAGCTAGATCTACACTACCAGTGTGGGGTGTTACACCTGCTAGTTGAAGCTAGATCTACATTCTACACTTGCTAGTTGAAGCCAGATCTACAATATCTGCGTGGAGTGTTACACCTGCTAGTTGAGGCTAGATCTACACTACCTGTGTGGGGTCTTACATCTGCTAGTTCAGGCTAGATCTACACTACGTGTGTGGGATCTTACACCTGCTAGTTGAAGTTAGATCTACACTACCTGTGTGGCATCTTACACCTGCTAGTTGAAGCTAGATCTACACTTCCTGTGTGGGATCTTACATCTGCTAGTTGAAGTTAGATCTACACTACCTGTGTGGGATCTTATACCTGCTAGTGTAAGCTAGATCTACACTACCTGTGTGGGATCTTACACCTGCTAGTTGAAGCTAGATCTACACTACCTGTGTGGGGTGTTACACCTGCTAGTTGAAGTTAGATCTACACTACCTGTGTGGTGTCTTACACCTGCTAGTTGAAGCTAGAGCTACACTACCTGTGTGGGGTGTTACACCTGCTAGTTGAAGCTAGATCTACACTACCTGTGTGGGATCTTACACCTGCTAGTTGAAGCTAGATCTACACTACCTGTGTGGGGTGTTACACCTGCTAGTTGATGCTAGATCTACACTACCTGTGTGGGATCTTACACCTGCTAGTTGAAGCTAGATCTACACTACCTGTGTGGGATCTTACACCTGCTAGTTGAAGCTAGATCTACACTACCTGTGTGGGATCTTACACCTGCTAGTTGAAGCTAGATCTACACTACCTGTGTGGGATCTTACACCTGCTAGTTGAAGCTAGAGCTACACTACCTGTGTGGGATCTTACACCTGCTAGTTTAAGCTAGATCTACACTACCTGTGTGGGGTGTTACAGCTGCTAGTTGAAGTTAGATCTACACTACCTGTGTGGGATCTTATACCTGCTAGTTGAAGTTAGATCCACACTACATGTGTGGGGTGTTACACCTGCTAGTTGAAGCTAGATCTACACTACCTGTGGGGGATCTTACACCTGCTAGTTGAAGCTAGATCTACACTACCTGTGTGGGGTGTTACACCTGCTAGTTGAAGCTAGATCTACACTACCTGTGTTGGGATCTCACACCTGCTAGTTGAAGCTAGATCCGCAGTGCCTATCTATTAGTTTGAGACTTCATGTCTGCACTAGAGGGGTTTACAGTTGAATGCTGTGGCTGCAATTACACTGCCAAGGTGTTACATCTGATAGGTGATGCTTGGTGGGGGGTTTACACCTTATAGTTGAGGCTATATCCTCACTGCCAGGGTTGGGTGCTCCACCTTGTACATAAGGCTCCATGCCGGTTTGTCATACCTACTTTCATTCACGTTACGAAAGGTACACCGGGAACTCACTTTGTACTCTCATTACCTGAGGACATTTACTTAGCTCCGCCAACCTGCTGTCTGTGGGAATATCAAGACATGTTCAGCTTTCGGTTCCTCTTTGTCCAGCACACAAGTCGGAGTAGATACACACAAGTCGGAGTAGATACACACGAGTAGATACACTGACATACGTGAACTAGATTGAACATCGACTCTATGTAACAAGCTACGCATCACACATGGGAGGGGTTAGCCTTGTAGCGAATCTGCTCCCTCGTAGCTTTCAAGACACTGTTCCATGTCTCAGATGGGCACGGTCGAAAACGCCCATGATTTTGTTTCCATTGCCAAGATTCGGATGGAATATTGCTCAAAGAGGCCTTATCACCTTCTTACCAACACGTTTGTATTTTTATAGCAAACATTTCAGAGAATAAATGGTTATGTAAGATAACATCAGGCTGGCTGGTTACGATATGCGCCCTCGTCTTATCGATATCGTGTTTTGGATCAGTGACGCATTATACTTGCCGGTGTCACGCCCTTTAGGGAGCATAGTTGCAAAGGCTCGGTTTAGTTGCAGTCAAAGGGAGGTAATCCAATTCATACAGTTGACCATCACTAAGATGAACGTGTACAGTCGAGTAATATCTGTCAACTTGATCGCAGGGCGGGATAATTACCTGAGCAGATTTACGTCCCTTAGAAGAGCCAGAATAGTATGATCGTGGGGTGATGTTTTGGCCAGCACATATATACCCCTGCTTGTGACTGACCCGTGAAGGTCCGGGTTAGAATTGATCTTCAGTAACCTATGATTGTCGTAAGATGCGACTAACGGGATCGGGTGGTCAGGCTTGGTTGACACATGTCATCGGTTCCCTGTTGCGCAGATCGATGCTCATGCTGTTGATCACTGGATTGTCTGGTCCATACTCGATTATTTACAGACCGCTGCCATATAGCTGGAATATTGCTGAGTGCGGCATAAAACTAAACTCACTCACTCACTCTTGCCAAAATGATAAACATCTATGACTTAAACAACGGATTTAAAAGTTTAATACCCCCACAAATTATAAATTTACACACAAAAAAATCAAATATGAACATACAAGAGAAGTGTGGACAGAAGTAATATTCAGTGTTAACCATTTTATATGGAAATGGCCATACCTGCTAAAACACCTGTATCTTAATGAACATACCTAAATTTATTACCAATCCATATTAAACATATAACGTGTTTATCCCTTTCTTCATTCAGCTGGAGGAAATAATGAATGTCTATCTCTATACCATCGTATACATAGTACAGTGAAGCCTCGTTAATCCGGACGGTTGCGTTTCTCAGCAAAATCGTCCGGATTTCGAATAGTCCGGACTACTGAATCAAGACCCAAGTTCAAGCAAGAGTTGCTTCCCTTACTATTACAAAAAACGACATGACTCTTGATAAAACAAATAAGCATTTAATGTAAAGCTTATAAAACGATGAATAGCAAGCACAACAATAAATTATAGTTACAGCAAAAAAGTATTTCATAGTTGTTTGTGTTCTTTTAACCTTCTTCATTGAATTCTTCACATCAGTAATTTTACCGAGTGACATCTCATCGCCGATTGTCTCAAAATATGTCACCAGACTTTCCAGGTATTTCTCTGCCTCAGTCGAACTTGGTGGAACGGGGGCTGGATCACTTTCCTCCTCTTCTTCTCCTCCTCTGTATCCTCTTTGCGTAGATCGGTGCTCATGATGTTAACCACTGGATTGTTTCGTCCAGACTGGATTAATTGCAGACCGTCGTGATATAGCTGGAATATTACCGGTACTAAACAACAGTGTGTTGTATTAAACAACAGGGGTAGCCCAGTGGTTAAAGCGTTCGCTCGTCACGCCGAAGGCCTGGCCGGTTCGATTCCCACATGGGTACAATACGTGAAGCCCACGGGGTGATATTGCTGGAATACTGCTAAAAGCGGCGTAAAAGCGGTCTGTAAAACAATCGAGTCTGGACCAGACAATCCAGTGATCAACAGCAGGAGCATAAATCTATGCAACTGGGATACGATGACGTATCAACCACGTCAACGAGCCTCACCACCCGATCCCGTTAGTCGCCTTAAAATTACGACAAGCATGGGTTACTGAAGACCAATTATAACCCGGATCTTCAGGGGTCAGTTTTTTAAACTGAGCACAAGCGATGTTTATAGAATATTGCACAAAATCCACATCTATGGGCACTACTGAGGATGTGCTACAGTCAGTTAGTCCTGACTAGCAGCTCTGACAGGCGGTGGGGTAGCCTAGTGGTTAAAGCGTTCGCTCGTCACGCCAAAGACCCGGGCTCGATTCCCCACATGGGTATAATGGGTGAAGCCCATTTCTGGTGTCCCCCCGCCGTGATATTGCTAAAAGCGGCGTAAAACCCAACTCACTCACTCACTGACAAGCAGTGGTGGCTATGGGGATCGATGCATCAGCCTTATTTGTCTTGTGGACTCAGGGGCGATGGAGTAGCCAAAAAGACGTGTAAAGGTGATACTTGTTGTTGCCCAGCCTGATATTGGGGATAAACATCCTTTCTCGTCCTTTGGTATTAGTGCTGCTGAGTGGCTTTACACAATGGCATGGTGGACTTACTAAAACAGGTATACGTTCTTCGTCACTTTTCATCTAGGGATCAAAGGGCAAAGGTGATAACCTACCCCGACCCTAACAAAACTAACCCTAAGGATCTTGGCGGCTCGAGAGATCAGTGACGCATTCTGTTATCACCCCTCTAATCATTTTACTGCACTTCAAAGAACGATTCTTTTTCAGCGGTGTAAGGGAAGCAACTCTGCGAATGAAAACGGAAGACGGTGAAGTCACGTGATACAACAAGTAAACATGGATGCAACTCCAAAGGCCAAATTTGATGCGGCTGTCAAAGTTATACGATCCTTGCCGAAAAATGGTAAGCAAAACCAAGGTTTGCGATGTCATGAATTATAGAGAACAACGTTATCAGTGCTGGTGCTTCTCAACGTAATGTTTGTTGAATTTACGGCGCAGTTTTCATTACAGGTCGGATCAGCTCTCCCAGTCAAGTGACAACTTAGCTTTATCTAAGTGTGGATGATTAGATCGTTAAACCATCGTATCTTGTACGTCTTGACCTACAGTTGACATACTTGATGGTGCATATTCTAAGACAAGTCGAACATTTGATAACTCAGGAGTTACCATGTGTCAGCAGTTATTATTTGTCTGAATCTTCCGTATCCATGCAGATAATAGAACTGGTCACAACAAGAAATAAGTGACCAGATTATCTGCTCATTGTTGTTATTACTGAAAAAAGTTTATATCAGTATGCGAATAAGCTGCCTTTCAACTGTCCTGTCGCGAAAACATTTCGTTCTTGTTTAAGATTATGATTGACTGACTGACTGACTGAGTTTGGTTTTACGCCGCTTTTAGCAATGTTCCAGCAACATCACGGCGGGGGACACCAGAAAAGGGCTTCACAAATTGTACCCATGTGGGGATTCGAACCCGGGTCTGCGGCGTGACGAGTCAACGCTTTAACCAATAGGCTACCCCACCGCCCCAGATTATGATTGAATGATTGATTGAATGAGTTTATTTCACACCCCTTTAGCAAAAATCCAGCAATATCAAGGCAGGGGACACCAGAAATGGGCTTCACATATCATATATATAAGTATGCATATTGTACCTATGTGGCAATTCGGTCCCGGCTCTTCTGCTAACTCTTTAAAAACTAGGCTACCCCACCTCCCCTTTGAGATTCTGAAATGTTGCCAGCTTATTTGGCTACTGAAAATTTAACGATGATTTTGTTTTTGCTTATCTCTTTGTTTATCAAAATGTAAAATTGAAATTGAAATAAGAAGATCACCTGTTTTTATTGATAAATACAACATCCAAAATATTAAAAATATATTATCCCCTTCATAACATTTGGCTCATAATTTGTAATTTTGGATTACTATTTTGATAACTTAGCAAAATCTCACATATTTATTTACCTAGTGAAATTTGGCCCACCTAGTGAAAAGCTGCGCCCAAGGGTAGAAACATTTTCAGACTATTCCTCAATCTGGTTTGAATCAATTTCTGTTACACCACAGAAGAAATGGAGACAGTGAAAATAGAACTTTCCTGCTGATGAACTGTGGCCGTTGTCACCATCATCTACTGTCTGCCGAACAGTTATCGCCATATTTTAGTGGTATTTACAAAATTATTCTGCTATTCGTTAAATTAATGAAACAGAATTAATTATAATACTTGATTAGCTGTTCAGCCTGTTCACTGCTGCCGATCGTGTTTTTATATAATATGTCCGAAGGGAATCATGGCAGTACAAATAGATGTTTTCTCACAACTTCACAACCTCCAATAATTGATTGTGTGACTAGTTGAATGTTTTTTTAAATGTAGTTTGATAGGGAATGAAACAATGACTTTTGTGAACGTGACCTTGCCATTATATAGAGTGTGTGACATCCCCCCGACCATGTTAACACTTTTTTATAGGGTTCATCACCTTAAAGTTTAATTTTTCTCTTATGTTACTTACCATGAAGAATTTTCCTTTATTGTTGTCAAATACTGTGGGAAAAAATGCCGGAATTGTAATTGACCAGAACTGTGCAAGCGGCAGTAACTGTTCGGCAGACAGTAGGCCTGGTACATGATCAAGGACATCTGTACAATCTCCATGGGTTCTTTGTCTCTGGTATCACATTCAGTTTCACATATTTCATTCATTTTTGATATGATTATGAATATGAAATGATTACTTTCAATTGCCAGAATTGTAATGACAGAACTAAATTTGAGTCTTGTCTTTGGAATTGTTTTTGTTCATATCAACTAATCACATGACACCCCTCATCTATTTTACCGTGCATTTAAGCATGGTTGTTATTTGGTTTTGTGATGCTGGAGTAAAACATGCACGTAATCAATGAAATGACAAATGTTAAACCAGTTTCTATAACGATGCTGGCGATAATTGATCTTTTGTGAAAACTAATTCAATACATTATGTAACATGTGAGGGGCGGTGGGGTAGCCTTGTGGTTAAAGCGTTCTCTCGTCATGCTGAAGACTCGGGTTCGATTCTGTGCATGGGTACAATGTGTGAAGCCCATTTCTGGTGTCCCCTACCATGATGTTGCTGGAATATTGCTAAAAGCAGTGTAAGTCTAAGTTCACTCACTACCGGTATATAAGATGTAAGAATACTGCCCTAGTAAAGTTTTTGCTGTTAAATGTGGTTATCAACAGCATGAACAGACAGGGGTAAGAGTATGTCAAAACAAGACATTGAACTGATTTTACAAATATTTTCCAAAACTAATGATGGTAGCATATTCATTCTTCAGCTATGAAACCTGAACTGATGAAGCTGCTGCTGCATGATATTGTGGAAACCTGTTGTGCTTCACATGAGAGAGTGAAGAATCTAATTAACTTACTACAGGGCAGAAACATTAATTAAAACTCTCCCACTATTAACATGTTCATGTGCGTGTTATTGTTCAACTTGGGGCAGTGGGGTAGCCCAGTGGTTAAAGCATTTGCTCATCACTCTGAAGACCCGGGTTCGAATCCCCTCATTGGTACAATGTGTGAAGCCCATTTCTGGTGTTCCCCGCCGTGATGTTGCTGGAATATTGCTAAAATTTGCGTAAAACCAAACTCAGTCAATCAGTTATTGTTCAACTGGGGTCAGTGGGGTAGCCTAGTGGTTAAAGCATTTGCTCATCACGCTGAAGACCCGGGTTCGATTCCCCACCTGGGTACAATGTGTGAAGCCCATTTCTCGTGTTCTGGATAACAATGTGATTAAAAGATCATGAGTATATTATAATTTATAAATAGGACACACATAAATACAAGATAAATAAACATATGATCATATATTTGCTATTAAAACAATGGTAGATATTGAAATACTTCAAATGAAATGGGACTTATTTACCCCCTCAGGCATTCTCTTCCCACAGAGGTTACTTGTCATATCTTCCTACGAACCTCTGTTCTAACACGGCCATATTTCCCGGTTCTCGTAAAATCCCCTAGCGGCAAAAGATCGCAACACGAATTATCTCCCTTCTTTCAATCCAATCAGAACACGTTTTACATCGACTTAGATTCAACTTGACTAACACAAGCAAATGTGGGGCCACAAATATCCCCCATCTGCCGGGGACTTGTGTTGATATTACACACAAGACGTTTAATGGCTAGCTTGTCCGTTGTCAACGAGGGCGATGGAGACGCCACTGATCCGCCATAACATGACTGAGTTCTGTCTAGAAGAAACGTTTGCGCATCGCGCAGGAGAAGAGGTTTAGTTTTCTCAAAGCATACGGAAATTACCGAGGCCTTGCGAATGATCACTTTTGAAACAACGTCGCTGATTGCACAACTAAATCTGATGGCCTCCAATCACGAGTCTTGAACGCTCACACCATGAAAGGGCCGTATTAGAACAGAGGTTACGTAGGAAGATATGACAGGAGTAACCTCTGTGGGAAGAGAATGCCCCTCAGGGGGACGCCAAATTTCTGTGCTAATATGTTGTTTCATGTAATTTAATGTACATTAATGTAACTGTTCTAGACACATGATTTTTGTTTTTTGTCCACTCTTCTGGTTTAGGTTCGTTCCAACCATCCAATGAGATGATGCTTAGATTCTATGGCTTCTACAAACAAGCCACGGAAGGCCCATGTACCGATGTCAAGCCAAGCTTCTGGGATCTGGTCAAGAAGGCAAAATGGTTGGTATATACATGACATATTTTGCAGGGCTGTTGATAATAATTTCAGCCAGTGAATATTTAATCTCCTGTTATCATTCACATTGTTTATTGCCCATGGTGGCAGTTGTCTGATGGTATATTTTAATCCAAGGCTGTTGGGTAATTATTCACAACTCTGCAGACATTTTCTTAACAGTTAGGAGATAAACGTACAAATATTAGATGAATGTTAGACTGAATTGATAGTGTCTAAATTCCATTTGAAACCGAACGTATAGCTATTTCTAATATAAACCTACCTTTATAGAAAGTTATCACTTTATTAATATGCCATGATTAGACTTGTGATGTTATCTTTTCTATTTCCATGTATTGAAATTTTCAGGACCCTCTAAATTTTCTGGCATCCCTTAAAATCATACATTTTTGGGCCTTGGGCCCATATCTTCCAAAACCTAGAAACAATACTGGTGGCTGTACATTGTAATTGAGTTTGAATATTCTTATAATAGAAGGTAATATGATAGTGAGGTTCCCTAATAATTGTGGAGGAAAAAAACATATAATTGTATTTTTTGAGTTTTAATAAATGTTTTATTATTAACATTTCCATCAGGTCCGTTGTGTTGATAACAGCCATGTTGGTGGGCAAGCTGAAGTAGTGTATACATGCGCAGTGAAGCAGTCATAAATATAGACACATTTTCAATCCAAATTGATTGTGTCTAATTTTATTGATTGTCCAATCAAATTCGAGTATTTCACATAGTAATAGTAGAATATTTAATTGGCATTCCCATTGCGTATTGTCCATGTTTACAGTTGTCTAATGGTATATTTTCTTCCACTGTGTCAGTTTGTTGGGTATTTTTACACCAATGTGCAGACATTTTCTTAACAGTTCCCCTAAAATGTTGCTACAGGTGACTTCTAGTGAGTGAGTGAGTTTAGTTTTACTCCACACTCAGCAATATTATATAGCCATATGGCGGCGGTCTGGAAATACAGACAATCCAGTGATCAACAGCACGAGCATCGATTTACGCAATTGAGATACGATGACATGTGTCAACCAAGTCAGCGAGTCCTGGACCACCTGATCCTGTTGTCACCTCTTACGACAAGCATGGTTACTGAAGATCAATCTTTCACGGGTCAATACATGTGATTTGTTTGTAGGCTGCCCCAAGTGTGCAACAGGTCACATAAACTCACAGCTAGACACGTCTAACTAACAATAATCAATAGACAGTAATATACAGTCTCTATAGTGGGTCCTAATGGTCGAAGTGTTCACTCGTCATGCTGAAGACCCGGGTTTGATTCCCCAAATGGGTACAATGAAGCCCATTTCTGGTGTCCCCTACTGTGATATTGCTAAAAGCAGTGTAAGACCAAACTCACTTACTCACTCTTGACTTTTCACAAGCTGACATTATTGGAATTTGCTAACTATATGAACTAGCTTCGGTCAGGCCCATGTATAACAGAAGGCAATTTGTACAAGTCGTGGTGTGTGGTCTTGTGCATAGAACCCAGATCACAAATCAGTTGAAGTTAAGCAACGTTGGTCAGAGAGTTCTTGGATTAGTGACCCTGCTTGGCAAGTTGACTCCTGGGAGTTCCTAGGACTTCAGTCCTGCCTTCAACAATGTACATATCACACATGTGGTCTCACCTTAGGCAAGTGGGTTTGTTCATGAATTGCCTCTGTACACCCAGCAGTGAATGGGTACCCGGTGGATTAAGATGGTCATATGAATGTTAAACATCTAGCGCGCCACACAGGCACCTTGGGTGAACAGAGCTAATATAGTAATTTGTCCTTAGCACCACTGAACATCCTTGAGGTGGGTATTTGCTCTACAAAGTCTATATACAGTCAAATCCCGATGAGTCGAATGCCGGTGTCTCGAATATTATGCATAACTCGAAGTACCTGTCGGTCCCGACCATTCCCTGTAATAGTTGTCATCATTTGAATACCGGTTACACGAATTCGTCTAATAAATACACATGATGACTCGAGAAGGAAATTTCGTCCCATGCGATTCAAACAATAGTAATCTTGTATACATAAGCCCGAAGTCAGTCAATGAGAAGTTGATTGGTGTAGCAAACTGAGCAAATTAACAAACCAGCGCAGCTCACACCTTTCCGCCATTGACGGGTGAGTTCAAAAGGCAGATTAGTGATTTAACGGGAATCACTGTCTGTGCTAATCAGACTGGAACTGATAAGGTGCCCCTATTAGGGATAGGGAAATCATGAGATAAACAAATGCTTAGGTGGAGGAATAAGAACTGGATCGTCTTTTTTCTACCCTCATAGACATACCTATGTCTCGAATACATCGATAAGATGAATTTATTACTTGGTCCCCAGCGATTCGACTCATCGGGATTTCACTGTATATATATTATCCTGATTCCTGTAAGTAATAGACAGTAGTAAACTCAAATAAATATTTACAGAGAGGTGGGGTAGCCTGGTAGATAAAGCATTCACAGGTCATGCTGAAGGTATGGTTTCGATTCCCAACATTGGTACAATCTGTGAGGCCCATTTCTTGTGCCCCCAATCATGATTTAGCTGTAATATTGCTAAAACTCAGGGTGTAAAAGTGGTTTTAAAGCCATACTCACTCACTAAAAATGATACATGTGTTAAGACTTAATTCATACTGAAAAAATAGTAAGCAGTAGACCAAATATATGTCCGTGGACTGCTTGCCATGCAAGTTTATACAGTGCTGATGCCATATTTCTATCTTCTCACCAGGGAGGCATGGAACAAGCTTGGGGACATGCCAAGGGAAGAAGCTATGTTGAATTATGTGGATGCACTCAAAGTTGTAAGTAACCTGTTGTTCAATTAACTTGCCTTTTGTTACAGAACGTATTGGTCATGTTGCTAGCTTATGGCCAACATGCTTGTTTCACCTGAGATCATCGAGACTATACTTGTTTCACCTGAGATCATCGAGATGATGCCTCAGTCAGAGTGTGTGCCACCTGAGATCATCGACAATGCCTCAGTCAGAGTGTGTGCTTGTTTCACCTGAGAGATTGAGACAATGCCTCAGACAATGCCTCTGAGATCAGAGCCTCAGTGAGTGCTTGTTTCACCTGAGATCATTGGTGCCTCGTCAATGCCTCACCTGAGATCATCGAGACAGTTTCACCTGAGATCACCTGAGATCATCAAGCCGCTCTCAGTCAGAGTGTTTGTTTCACCTGAGATCATCAAGAGATGCCTCAGTCAGAGTGTGTGCTTGTTTCACCTGAGATCATCAGATGATGCCTCAGTCAGAGTGTGTGCTTGTTTCACCTGAGATCATCGAGACAATGCCTCAGTCAGAGTGTGTGCTTGTTTCACCTGAGATCATCGAGACGATGCCTCAGTCAGAGTGTGTGCTTGTTTCACCTGAGATCATCGGTGACGATGCCTCAGTCAGAGTGTGTGCTTGTTTCACCTGAGATCATCGAGATGATGCCTCAGTCATGCCTGTTTCACCTGAGATCAGAGTATACTTGTTTCACCTGAGATCATCAAGACGATGCCTCAGTCAGAGTGTGTGCTTGTTTCACCTGAGATCATCGAGACAATGCCTCAGTCAGAGTGTGTGCTTGTTTCACCTGAGATCATCGAGACGATGCCTCAGTCAGAGTGTGTGCTTGTTTCACCTGAGATCATCGAGACGATGCCTCAGTCAGAGTGTGTGCTTGTTTCACCTGAGATCATCGAGACAATGCCTCAGTCAGAGTGTGTGCTTGTTTCACCTGAGATCATCGAGACGATGCCCTGAGTCAGTGCCTCAGTCAGAGCTTGTTTCACCTGAGATCATCAAGACAATGCCTCAGTCAGAGTGTGTGCTTGTTTCACCTGAGATCATCATCGTGTGCCTTTCACCTGAGATGTGTGCTGCCCTCAGATCAGAGACAATGTGCTGTGTTTTCACCTGAGATCATCGAGACGATGCCTCAGTCAGAGTGTGTGCTTGTTTCACCTGAGATCAGATCGAGACAATGCCTCAGTCAGAGTGTGTGCTTGTTTCACCTGAGATCATCGAATGACAGAGTGCCTCAGATCAGAGTGTGTGCTTGTTTCACCTGAGATCATCGAGACAATGCCTGAGTCAGAGTGTGCTTGTTTCCCTCAGTCAGAGTGTGTGCTTGTTTCACCTGAGATCATCGAGACGATGCCTCAGTCAGAGTGTGTGCTTGTTTCACCTGAGATCATCAAGACGATGCCTCAGTCAGAGTGTGTGCTTGTTTCACCTGAGATCATCAAGACGATGCCTCAGTCAGATAGAGTGTGTGCTTGTTTCACCTGAGATCATCAAGACGATGCCTCAGAGTGTGTGCTTTTTCACCTGAGATCATCTGAATGATGCCTCAACTGTATACTTGTTTCACCTTACACCTTAGATCATCGAGACAATGCCTCAGACTCAGATGGTGGCAGATTTTATGGACACATTAGGGACCTTCTATGAACTGGTGGATGACAAGTCTCCCATAGGCAATGCAATCAACAGCAGCTCACTGAGGTCATCACCAGAACGTGAAGAGGGCAAGGTGCTGATGGTGAAGGACAAGTCGTCCCCAGACAAGGAAGATGTCCCTCGAGTCAATGGAGACATAAGTGGTGGGTGTACCATGCAGCACATTTCCTATTGTAGTTAAACCATTTGGAAATCTATAAGAACTACTGTTTTCTTCAAGTCATATTTCAACCATGAAAAATCTGGTCTTCAGCAACCCATGCTTGTCCTAAGAGTTGACTAACACGATCGGGTGGTCAGACTCGCTGACTTGGTTGACACATGTCATTGTATGCCAATTGTGTAGATTGATGCTCATGCTGTTGATCCCTGGATTGTTTGGTCTAGACTTGCTTATATACAGACCGCCATATAGCTGGAATATTGCTGAGTGCGGTGTTAAACAACAAACCAACCAAGATCAAGTCATATTTCATGTAGACAAATTTTCAGCAAACAGGTTTATGAAAAAGCATTTCATTTTTGTGGTCAAACCATAGAGTATTTTGATAACATGAGAAATCTGTAATAAAATCGTTCCTGTTCAACATGAGACATCATCATTAATGTCTCAGACTGTTATATGATTTATCTCTCACTTGTCTGTGTGTCACAAACTGATGTCAAGTCTAACATAGTATACAGATAGTAAACTAGTATGGGTTAGGGTTTAAATCATTAAACACATCAACTAAAAACGCCTATTCACTCTGCTTGTAGTGTGTTGTTAAAGCAACTTTGTAAATCTGTTGTTGAATTATGTGCATGGTATATATCATGAATATTTGGAAACATTATTTGAATTTAAAAGTTTTTTGAAAATTATGATTCTGTGTAGAGATTAGAATGAACATGGGAATATAAGAAAATTTACAAATATTAAAGGTATGGTAGTCTGAAAAGTCAATACCTTTGAGGATAACAAGAGGACAGAATTATAAACTTTAAAAGTTCTTAACACTGATAACCATGCCATGGATTAGTATCGAGATGTTAAACATTCTTGGTTTGTCCAGATGCATCTTCCACGAACCACTCAGGAATTGTAGAGGAAGCGTTGTTGCGGGCAGGCCTAGGTGGTGAAGAGGCCATCAATGAGGAAGCAGTGTCACAGACAGGCAGAGTTGGTGGAGAGGTCACGGAGACGGATACCCACCAGATTAATATCAAATCACTGGACCAAAATGACAATGTTAACAGCGGCAAGCAGAATGGTATGACAAATTTCACACTCTTTGTTTATAAAAATATATTATTTTTATCTTTCCAAAGTCTTACATTCTTGGCATGTATTAACAATGCTCAATAGAAAACTTGCCTATCTCTGTGCATTGTTCAAAGATAGTGAAGGAAGGGAGGTAACTGTTTTGTAGATATGAATTGTCTCCCTTTAGGCAGTACACCAATAACACATTTTGAGGAAAAAAACAACTTTCTTTTGTGAGTGCGACATTTACAGAGTCTTGTACCATTGTGAAGCCGGAATGTAACATGAGGAGGAGGGCATGTATATATTTACAGTATATAACCAAGAAAATACAGGAGCAACATAATTAACATAACATTGGCTAGGCAACAAGTTGATTGAAGCCACAGAATTAACAAAGGGATAAGAGATGGAAGCTAGGGATGTAAAATCAAGGGATAGTTTTGAAAGGAAATGTTTACACAGTTGACTGGGCTTAGTTGAGTCGTGCATCATAGGCTGATGAGATGAAATATCCCTGATCTTGGTTTATGGTGGGCGTTTGTTATATTATGATGTGAACAGCTACTGTGAGTTTGCACATGCTAAAATCAGTTTGATTGTTTGCAAATATGATGATGTCAGTCCAGTTTATTTTATGACGGGTTTGGTTTGCTGATTTAGTAACAGAAGTTTGCTGTTCTTTCACTTGAGTGTCGATGGGTCAGGATGTTTTGCCTATGTAGCCGTGTCCACAATCACAGTTTATTTTGTAAATAATATTTCAGGTTGTTGTTGTTGATAGTTGGTGATTTTGTTCTGTAACCTTGAAGAAGGTTGTTAAGACTGGGAGATGAGGAGAAGGTGCTTTCTCTGCCTGCTTATTTTAGGAGTTTGCTGATTTAATGAGATAGTTTACCTATGTGAGGTGAGGTGAGGTGAAATTGGGTTTAACGTCGTGCCTGAGAATATTTCGCTCATATGACGACGTGCATGCGTGTGTATGTATATGTGCGGCTGCTTGTACTAGCCCAGACTTAAGCTGGTTATATAGTGCTAGCCCACTGAGATACCATGCCGCAGTGAAGCATGAATACCCCACTCAGACATATTATACTGACTCGAGCCGACCAGTCCTTGTTGTACCCATTAATGCCGACCGCCAGACAGGGACCAACAAGTACCATATTTTAACGTCTTTTGGGTATGACGCGGTCGGGGATCGAACCCGCGACCTTCCGCTCTCCGGGCGAACGCTCTAACCACTACACCACGGAGGCGGTTAGTTTACCTATGTAGTGAATTGAGATCTTAATGTTGATGGAAGGTGATAGAGTAGCTGCAATGGTTATGTTGACTATTTGGGATGGATAGTTGTTAAGTTCTACAAAGATTTTCTTCAGGTGTTCAGTTTCTTTTTGTAAATTTGTCAAGCAGATGTTCCAGCAAATGATATAAAACAACAAACACTAGGGTTAGCTCAGCATGTTATGATTTTCACAGGAGATGATGATGAACATCCTTTGACCAATGGCATGGAGGGAGAGGGCCAGAGAGTAACCAATCACGTGAACAATAGTAACAGTGACCTGTAACCATGGTAACTCTGGAGAGTGACAGTGAGGAACATCTATATATTGACTAGTCCTGTAATCAGGGTAATAACTCCTACCTGAACCTGTTCTGGTAACCCTGCTTCCATGATATTCCACCATAGTAACATAACCCTATATATTGAAGTATTCCTGAACTATTCCATTGAACTAGTCCTGTAACCATGGTAATAACTCCCTGTTCTGGTATATTCAGCTGTTGGTAACCCTGCTTCCGTATATTCCACCATAGTAACATAACCCTATATATTGAACTATTCCACCATAGTAACATAACTCTGTATACCATGGTAATAACTCCTACCTGTATATTCAACTGTTCTCATACACAACCACATTATGTGGAACTGCACTTCTTACTATGGAAACACAGAGCCACTGTATACTCAACTGTGCTGGTAACCATGTGAACATAACACTGTTCTGGTAAACAGAGCACAATATTACCTCAGTCATACAACCATCGGGGTAATGAGGCAGCCCAGTTGTTAAAGTGTTCACGCTAAAATAGATTTTACAGATGGGAAAACTGATGAAACATAGATAACTTAAGTACCTATACAGACAAACTTTATGGATAAACAACTTCTTTCTTTGGTAGATGCAATGTTTCGATACAGATTCTTGTATCGTTGTCAAGCAAGTATGCTTGATGTTGAATGCAACAATACAAGAATCTGTATCAAAACGTCACATCTACCAAATTAAAGATGTTGTATATCCATAAAGTTTGTCTGTATATTACTCTCCAACTTCTAAACAATGCCATTCAAAGAAACTTAAGTACCTACCAAATTGTTGACAAATGCCCTTACTTAACACAATTTGAACCTTCATATTACACGTTTGGCATGACATCAGTACTGTGATTTCCTGTTACCTTAACAGAACTTGTATAGGTATCGATTAGGGTTTTACGCGACACACAAATGGCCGTCCAGTATGCACAACTGTAGAGACTGGATGTAGAAAATAATTATCTGCGTCCAGAGTGATGATATTATTCTTATTATTCTCTGTACCCACAACACATCTATGAATTTGCTAAGTGTTTGGTTGTTTCTTTCAGAGCAGTTACTTGCATAATTTCATCCGGCATGTTCTCATTTAGCCTACATCCCAATTCGCCTACAGTCTTAAAACAACATTTCATGGTCTGTTGACTGTTGATTACGCAATGGTAAACTAGTGGCACCCCTATGATCTAAAAGTGGACTCTTCTAGTTAAAGTAGTTGAAGGACAAAAAGAATTTATTTCTGTTATTTGTCAGTTATTTATTTATTCTGTTATTTGTCATTTCCCGATCACAATGATATTCACATCATATCACAAATTCACATCATATCACATTAGTATTAAGGAAGTTAACTTGTGCAGATGTCCATTTAGGAGATAAACATACTGTGTTGGAAAATTAGAGGTTTATAACGAAATTATAATAGCTCTAAATTTGAATAAAAACCCTACCTGTAGCGTGAAGTTTTAAATACTAAATTTAGAGCTATTATAATTTTATCTCCATTCTACCATAGCCGTGTTATTAAGATTAAAAATAATACATACTGTATTGGAAAATCAGAGGTATATAACGTGATTATATACCTCTGTATGACTTTGATTAACCACAATCCAGTATTTACTGAAGGCATGGTAGAATCTCACTTCAACTTGATAAGGTGACCAGCCGCGTCGAGGTCCTAAAGGGGTGATCTTCAGAACAAATGTATTATGTTACCTACAAATACATAAAAATACCAAAATAGTTCAAGCGTTTTGAACATTTGTGATGTGCTTTCTTTGAATACAAATGTCAGTTGAAACATTTGGTAGATAAAACTTTTCGATAGACACAGAGACCAAACAAAGAGAAAGCCTTAAACTGGTTGTAAACAGTCTATATCCACATGTCCTATAGATTTAGATAAACAATTTCCAAACTGTTCGATGTAATTTAGTTTTCGATGCATTTTCAAATTTATTTGTACTTACCGAAAGTTCCACCTGTTGTCTCCCAGATGAATAAGATAGATATAACAATGATTTGTTTGTGAAAAGAACACTAAGTGGTGCTATTTCACTTACACCAAACAAAGGTACCAAAATGATTCTATTTTCATAAAGCTTGAGGTTATAAAACATGAAAGAAACCATGATATGGCTTCAGACTTTCTATAGTCATTAACATATTGTGCATGCAGAACAACAGTGAATTTGGATGTTAGGCAACATACAATCCATCTAATCACAGGATATACAAGGTATGATGGTGGTATTTGTAGGTAATTCAGAAAATCAGCCTTCAACTTCACCGATCCACCAACTTGTCACTTTTAGAGATTAGTGATGGCAACTGATTTTCATAAGAGACAAATATGTTGACTTTACATTGGTAAAAGGAATTACAAGGTGCAAACAATTCTACTTTGGACACCTTATACCTATCTGTGTACACTTTTCGTTGGAATCGAACACATATCCTTATAACAACAGTCGATCAAGATGTAGTATGGCACTGACCAGTGAGTCAGGTTCATTATAAGAGTAGGGGTGCAATTTCTAATCCCAATTAGCCTACAGTATTTTTGTATGTGAAATGGGATGGGCGAATTGAGATGTAGGCGAATAGAGACTAAACCCTTTCATCCATCAGTCCACACGATCAATGATTCATTCCAGGCTGTAAAGAAATTGTTAAAAACATACAGTTCTCTACACTGTTACTTCACAGGACCCTGATATTGCCTGCAAGGACCCTTAGAACTAATAATTGGGGTCCCTGGACTCCTATGTTTGTGAGTCGAGGTAAATCATTATTCAAATATATATGTGAATGGAGCTTCTACAAATGTAAAACCTTCAAACACAGTCTGTTGATGCTTTGTTTGTAAATGGATCAGTTATATAATGCTACCTGCTTTATTCATACTGTTTAGGTGAATATTCCTCGTAAGGAGACTCGTCTCAGTGCTTCTACACCTCTCAACAAGGCCGGGAACCATGTACGCTTCAGTGAGAACAACATCGTCCACACTGAGGTGGAGGTACACTCGGGCAGAGTGTCTCCCATAGAACCTGACTCTGGTCCATCAGGGCTGGAGGCGGCCACAATGCCGGGAACATATCCCTTCAGCCAGGGCCGCTACCTTTCGGAGAGTATGTTCGTGAATGCCCCATCTCAGGACTCTATGAACATCTCAGCCACAAGCCAGTTGAGTCTGGGTCGTGCAAGACTTGAGCAAGATTTCAGTGAAGAAAGTGTAATATCCTCTGACCTCAATCAGTCCAGCAGTGAGACAGCGCAGATGAGAGGAGGTGGGGATACGCAGAAGGGACGCCAGGGGGGCTACCAGCCTTTGGACAAGGGACAGACTGGGACCACGAGTGGCAGCAGAGGTACGGTGATCTGGGGTTGTGTACACATGTATCTAGGGGTGGTAGGAGGGCTACCAGCCTTTGGATAGGGGACAGACTGGGTCCATGGGTGGCAGCAGAGGTACGGTGATCTGGGGTTGTGTATGGGTGTCTAGGGGTGGGTGGGAGGGCGTATTCCAGCCTTTGGACAGGTAGCATACCATGGGACCAGGGCTACCAGCTGGGCAGGCGTGTGGATAGGTTGGGACCACAGGTGGCAGCAGAGGCCATGGGTACACACTGTATCTAGGGGTGGGAAGAGGGCTAACAGCCTTTGGGCAGGGGACAGACTGGGACCACAGGTGGCAGCAGAGGTTTGGACAGGGGACAGGCTAGGAACACAGGTGGCAGCAGAGGTACAGGAATATTCAGTTGTGTACATATGTATCTAGTCATGGTAGTAGGGGGCTACCAGCCTTTGGACAGGGGACAGACTGGGACCACAGGTGGCAGCAGATTGAATATTCAGTGTGTACATAGGACAGATATGGTAGGAGGTTGCAGTCTTTGAACAGGGACAGACTAGGACCTCTGTTGGCAACAGAGATAGGGTCTGATTTGGCATGAGAGGACAGATATCTAGTTGCAGTCTGTAGACAGGGGACAGGCTGGGACCACTTTGCATTGAGGAACTGATATTATTTTCTTTGCAAAACATATGGTGATACAAACTAGGCTTTCCATTAGATTAATCATGTTAGAAATTCTTTCTGCAGTTATGAAACAGAGACAACATTAAATGACCTAACATAATGAATAGGAGTGGCCTAGCATCAAGTTAAAATAAGAAGAAACTGTAAGAATAGAATTAGTTTATTTGTTTTTGCAGTTAGTTTAAACAGGTGTATGTGGATGGTGTCAGAAGCAGACATAAAATCATTCTTGCGTCAGGGTAAGTCCATCCTCGATAATCTCCACGGTATACATTATGATCACTCTCCACTATACCCTGGATGCATCCACGGTCCGATAATTATATTACCTCCCTTGGCTGGCTTTTTGATCCAATCAGGTGTCTACGCCGGTAAGTTGAGCGAACCAATCACAACTCACTTTCGCTTCTTAAATTATCTAACCGTTTAAACTTGGCAACACAATTGATGCACAGGTACTCTGAAAGAGGTAGAAGGAGTTCTTTCATATATTTTTTTTGAAGTTACGGATCTGTCAATTTGTCTGTATTATTTCCTAAAAAAATCTTAGTGGCACTGCGAACAAACCTTCGCGACTGCGACCGCTATCTTTGTTGACACTGGCAAGCTCGGATGTAACGGCGGCTTCGCTGATTGCTACTGTGAGACTGCGGAGCCAGCCAAAGGGAGGTAATATAATTATCGGGCCAAGCCGTGGATGCATCCAGGGTATAGTGGAGAGTGAATGTAACATATACCCTGGAGATTATCAAGGATGGGTAAGTCAAGAGATCTGTGATTCGATTGCCATATCATGTGTTGCAGGTTCCAACTCAGGTTCAGGAAGTGGAAGTCGACGGGGGTTGTTTTCGGGATCAGGTGGGGGTGGTCGCCGAGGAGACAGTGACCCCAACAACCCGGGGGATGTAAACGAACAGATTGCCATCGCCATGGTGAGACTGCAGCAGGACATGAGTGGGGTGTTGTCCCGACTCAGCTCACTGGAGACACTGTCCAGGCATAAAGCTGAGGTAGGTTGGTGAAATGTGGTGGCTCTGTTTGCAGGTACTGGTGTGATGGATCAGAATGCTTGACCAGTGTCCAAGAGTTTGTTCTGGAAAATAATAAGACCCTCCTATCCATGTCAGTATGGTGATCTACTTTCAGTTGCTAGTGATCTATAGCCTGTTTTTATATTGTAATTCCTAAATAGTGTCAACTTTTAAGTCACTTGCTAGTTTTAAATCTCTAACTGTGATATTCTAGTTCTTTTACTGTCCTTTGCAGACAGACTTTAAGATATAACATTCTTTAAATATGAATTTTTTAAGTCATGATATGGCTGAAATATTGCCAAAGTGACTATAAATTTTACTCACTCACCCACTCACTCACTCCTATCTATGCCAAGTTATGTTAAGCCAAGATTTGAATGAGTAGATCAGATTATCCATATCTACATTTACATCAAGAAATGTAAATCAATTTTGAAGACATTGCAGATTTTTCTACAGAATCTGTTTCCATGTGTGATGTGTTATTGTTTGCTCAGTGCTCTATATGGTTTGCACAAAGTTTTCAATAAATACGGCTGTTAACATTGTGTTTTTGTCCCCCGCCGCAACGCGGAACAGGGGACTATGTATTCAGCAGCGACCTTATCTTCACCACAATACTTTGACTGCTTTTTAAAGGCGATATCTCATGGACTGTTGCACCCAATGTTTTCAAGTATGTTGACAGCCTACATCAGGTGATTATGCAGACACCAGTCATTTCAGGCATCTTGTGTGTGACCCAAAAATAAAAAGTAGTAAATATAGATATTCCATTCTTTAGCGGCGGGGGACATTGCCATATCAGTGGCAAACACTTGTTCAACTTGTTTTGAAGGTCTGGGTACTGTAAACCAGTCCAAAGAAAAAGTATCCCATTCTTTTGTGACAGAGTTATTGAGTTAATCTTTTTGTCAGGAATGTGTATGTTATCACAAGAATTTGGTGAATGGAACAGTCGTTAAATAAGGGCAGTCTATTTGAACTTCTTTTCATAAAGCTCGTTCACATGGTCCTGGTTTGCTGTGCATTTGTCTGTTTTACTGAAATGAAAAGTACATTGGTAACTGGCTTCAGATTATAAAACTTGCTCCAGTTTATTGTAATTAACAATGTGATTATTAAGTCACAGGGATCTTCTGTTGGCACTTGAATACAAGGGATTTCAAACCTTGAGTTTGGTTTTACACCACTTTTAGCAATATTCCAGCTATATAACGGCGGGGACGCCAGAAATTGGCTTCACACATTGTACCCATGTGGGGAATCGAAACCCGGATCTTCCGCATGACCAGCGAATGCTTTAAGCACTAGGCTACCCCACGGCCCTTCATACACAGTAGCCTTTATCTGAGAATCATGACAACAGAGAGTCTTGTTCTATTTCAGGAGGAGGTACAGAGGCGAAGGTCAGCAAGGGTGAGTATTGAAGGGAATGTTAGCGATGTAAACATGCTAATTCCTCCATAATCCCCTGACCATGTCATGCCAAAATACGTTAAGAGCTAGTACTTGTTGTTACTCTCCCCGGTGCTCAGCATTAAGGGGATTGAGCTGTCCCAGAGTCAATATACTCTTCAGGGATGTACCCTAGGGAACTTACAAAGGATCCAAAGGATTCTGATGGCCATATGAAGTTATTGTGAATGAAACATTGTTTCCGTTATGCTATTGTCAATGTGATACAATTATAGACTGGTGATGAGGTCAATACCTGTTTTTATGGACCAGCGAAAAGCAATATTGACCGAGGACGATATTGTTTTATTATGTAATTACCGAAAAAAGCTTCTAAAATCCAAAACATGTCCATTTAGTCAAGAAAAGTAATGTTATTTTCACTACTAACCAATACCGTTCAGTCAGCAATACTGTGACATGTAAACAATAGAATGACGTCATAGCTGGACGTGAATGTTGTCATAGCTTGACGTCATAGTAACTCAGGTCAATATGACTTTTGGTTGGACCTGGGTTGGAGTCAATATGCTTTTCTGTCGACGGTCACGTGACCGCCTCTAGACCAATCAGGTAGCCGGAAAAATATGCTTGCATAATAATGAGGTTTTATGCCGCTTATAGCAATATTCCAGCAATATCATGGTTTGGAACACCAGAAATGGGCTTCACACTGTACCCTTTTGTTGAATTGAATCTGGGTCTTAGGCTTGATAAGCAAAGGCTTTAACCACTCGGCTACGCCACCGGCCTTATCAATGTTATAAATAGGTAATAAACAGTTAAAAATCCACTTTCCTCTCTCATAACTCTCACAAACTTCCATCTTCTTAAGTATTTGAATAAGGGTTTAGAATATGAACAAATATTCTCTTTAACAAAACACATTTCCACACAGTGGTGACTAGAATGACCAGAGATGGGTGACAGATGGATGAATGGATGTATGGGTGGACGGATGGATGGATGAATGAATGGATGGAGGATGGATTAGTGGATGGATGGCTGAATGAAGTGATGCATGGATGGAAGTATAGATGGATAGATGGATGAATGGATGAAGTGATGTTGTCTACGATAGTTTTGAGACTGTTTGGATATGAAAACTTCATTCCATATTCTTTTCTTTATATATCAGAAATACACAATATATATCACTCACACATAGAAACAATATGAATATACATACACGTTTTATTTCAGAAACCCAGTTGGTGGCCATTTCCTGATCTGTCTATAAAGAGTGCAGCTTTTGTCATACTGTGGCCCTTCATTGCTCACTACCTTATCAACGTGCTCTTCAAGAGGAAAAGGTAGGTTTGTTTATTATTGTGTGGTCAACCAATGAAAGGCAGTAGATGTTCCACATTGTGTATGCATTGTAGTTAATCTAAATGATGATGATTGTTTAGATTGTGCTGCAGTACTCATGTAGTTGTTGATGTAGTTCTAGATTCTAATTCCAGAACCAGGGGTTGTTGTAGATGATGTCATAATTAGGGCTGTAACGATGCATCAAACTATCGATGGATTTCTATTGTTGAGTGGGGCGGTGGGGTAGCCTAGTGGTTAAAGCGTTGGTTCGACACGCCGAAGACCCGGGTTCGATTCCCCACATGGGCACAATGTGTGAAGCCTATTTCTGGTGTCCCCAGCCGTGATATTGCTGGAATATTGCTAAAAGCGGCGTGAAAATAAACTCAGTCAGTCAGTCAGCTATTGCTGAGTCTCCGATAGCAGTTTATTCGATGGTAGAAACCAAAAACTATTAATGCATCGATAGTATGTGTGACTATCGATAGTTTAGTAATTGACTTATGGTGATAAATGCGCAGCACAATGTACAGGAAGTACCAGATTCGTTCACTTTTATTTAGAGTTATTTGCCCGTTACCTGTTAACGGTTTACTTGATCTGGGTTTCAAGTTTCTTGTCAGTTATTGAAAGAGACTGAAACTATTTCAACTTGTTTTTATTTCATATAAACTATACATTCGTTGAAGCCGTTGTAGATGTTGTAATGGTAGGATGAAGGGCCATGTGCATTGTTTGATAACAACATGTCATTTGATAATAACCATAGGAAACAATATATGGCTCCAATTTCATATATTCCAAGCATGATATTACCTTCATACCCACGAAGGTCTGGGTTAGAATGAAACTTCAGTAACCCATGCTTGTTGTAAGAGGCGTCGTCTAACAGGATTGGGTGGTCGGGCTCGCTGGCCTGGTTGACACATGGCATCGGTTCCCATTTGCGCAGATTGATGCTCATGCTGTTGATCACTGGATTGTCTGGTCCAGACTCGATTATTTACAGACCGCCGCCATATAGCTGGAATATTGCTGAGTGCGCGTAAAACTAAACTCACTCACTCACCTTCCATATCAGATTATTCTTTCAACAGATTTTTGTCATTGATAGGCAGCTTAAAGGTTTAGTGTATAACCCCTGTAAGATCCAACACATATAGAATGTTGTGTTGACAGTACTACAGGGCAATGAGGTGATGGATGAGAAACATGGCTGGATTCTAATGCTATGTCCTCCTTTTTTCAGGAGATCCTTGCAGTGAGGTTGAGCCCATGCATTAGGCTGACAGTGGACCAGGATGAATGATAGCAGCTGTATGAGATTGTGTACATTGGCAATGTGTTATGTACAATTTCCAAATTTTATAAGACAACAATGAAAAACATTCAGATGTAGCTTTGATTGGTTCATATGTATTGAGAAAAATGAGTGATATATTGTTTTGAATTTATTTGGAATGACTTCATCTATCTCTGTTTTTCTGAACATTTGAACAGTTTCCTAATTTATGAGACAAAATGAATTCAAGTTTAGATTCAACATTGATTTCTACTAGTTTCTACATGTTTTCCCACCGTCTCATTCATAATGTTAAAGAAATTAATCTTGATTCTCAGACATCAATGCATTTGCAAAATAACAGTATACTGCTCAAATGGAGTTAAAGAATACGAATGGTATGACAGAGTAACTATTGAAATATGGAAGAATGGGTGCTCTTTAACTTCATTTGTGTAGCATATCAATTATAAGAAAGCATTTTGTTTCAGGGTGGGGTAGCCTCATGAAAGGTTTTCTAATGCAAAAGCCCAGGCTTGAATTTCTTCATAGGCATAATGTGTGAACCATCTCTTTTGAGCGTCTGTTGGTAGTGATATTGCTATAAAAATTGGAAAATTTATGCACTCCCTGTTACTTTTACAGTACAGAAAATATATATTTTTATTACTGGTGCACACGAGGCTATCCAATCATCATTGCTTTTGAATCAACTGTTTTATGGAAGCAGTTTTGATCTCCTCTATTCAGTATTGATTGCAAAGGGTTTATACTGTAGATGTTCTAATGAGTGTTATGTGCACGTATTAATCGTGGTAAGTGGAAAATCTTGCCATTAGTGCTACCAGCATGTGTATGTTCAATGATACAGATGAATGTGTTCTATAATCAGCTGTGATATTACTGGTATGATTTTCAGTGTGTGTACAGTTATACATGAACATGTTTCCATTGCAAGAATGTAGTCATTGATTGTTTTAAAAAATTCATAATAAAATGTGTAAAAGATGCATATGTGCAATTGGGAAGTGAGAAGCTCTGATTTTTGAAAGGCATGTTTTTATATGATGACAAATGGTAAATGGTATGAGTAAACACACCATGTGTTTAACAGCTTGAATCAATTGGAAGTATTCTTTGCTGTGATTGGACAATGTGGCAGTGTTTTGGAGTAACTGGGTTGTAATTGGATGAGCTTGCAGCTTTGAAAGAAGCTGTGCTTTGATTGGATTGGATGTGGCCTTAGCTACACAATTTTTGCACAAGTATGTGTAAATCCAGGAATTTTAATTAATGAACACTTAAGAATGACTTCAGTATGTCCAGCAAGCAATATTTGTAATCTCACTGAATGTGGCCTGAGATTACTGCTACAAGACATATTTGTTTCACTTAGAAGATAGTCATATGTGAGCACATTTCAGGCCATCTCAAGTCAGATTCTGTTGACAGTTACTGTACATTTCTGTGCTGGTCATCTTTTCATGTGATGAGCCTTGACATTCAATAAAATATTTTCATAGTCATAATGAGAAGTATTTTAGCAGTATTAGTGAATGAATGGCACCTTTCTGTGCAATGATTTGTGCATGGAGAAGACAGAATATCAGCTCTATAGTGGAAGGTTGACATATTGTATACTCGGGATTGACAGGTGTGTTCAGTCTTATGTGGATGGAAATCAGTGGAGGCATGTTTGGACTGACAAATGGAAACCAGAGATCAGTTTGGGTTAGTGAGATGTGAGAGGATTAAGGTGATGAATTGTTGATCGTGTTTCATTAAGGTCTTGAGTCACTCCAGGATCACTAGCATGGGTGCTGACATCTTAGATCTATTTCACAAACTAGTGTGGTTTTTATTTTGTAAAATAAAGGTGTCAGGAAAAATAGGAGGGGGCAGAGTACACACCCTTGCATTCCACCTATGAATCCACTGGTGTGTTGGAAGCAGCTTTAAACTCTTCCCTCACACACTGGTGGTCTGTTTCCTCCTTTAGAACTCCCCCCTCATGGTTCATGTGGATGTGTTACTCCAGAATGTAAATGTTTTCTTGACTCATTCACCTTGACCGTTACCTAATGCTGGTTCAGTGAAGTTTGTTTGAAAGCTGAGTTTCCATGACGATGAGTGTTGCGAGCAGGAGAGAAACCTTGAATGTATGATGATCTTTATATAGACTGACCTAGATTTGCTCACTGTATACATCTGTGTGTGTGATGACCAATACAGTCTCAAGGATCATATTGATGATGTACATACTTAGTTGATGTGTGTCTGTTGTACAGAAATATAATTATTAAAATCGAAAAATAAAATTTCCATGCTACAAGTGAAGTGTATTTTTTCATTTATTATCAGATACCATCACGACGTCAAGTGACAGTCATCTGACATCACATGAGGAAATACGTATACATTCAGCCAATACACATCTTGCCTGAAGCTCAGAGTTCAATATATATGATTTACCCAAAGTTCGTTTGTTGGGTTGGTTTAACATAAAGATTTTATCTCATCATCGGATGATGTTTCATATTTACAACACTATAGGACTAGTGTTCCAAATTATGTGAATTTTTATTCATTGTTATGATGCAACCGCTGCATGTCTGTTGGTCCTTTTATGATACTAACCTAGTATAAGGTTGTGGTGCTTCTCTGCCAGCATGACTACCAGTGTCTGAGCCACCGAAATGTCCTGCGCTGGGTTGCTCGTGGGATGACAGAAAGCAAGGGTCATTGGTTCGAATTCCAGGTTTGCTCTGATTGTGTTTCTTATCCTTGTCACCACTGGTGGTTTACACTTGCGTCACTTCTGGGTCATCTCCTACCCCCTCCATAATACTAGTACTAGTGTTGAGGCTGGTGTGTTGTCCAGACAGCCCGAACCTGTTCTATAATAATGTTAAGTGCCTTCACATTGTACAGAACCCTTCATGATTCGGGTTAGAATTGGTATTAGCAATCAATGCTTGTGAGAGGCGACAAAAGGCATCGGGTGGTCAGGCTCGCTGGCTTGCTTGACACATGTCATCGTATTCAAGTTGCGTTGATGGATGCTCATGCTATTGATCACTGGATTATCTGGTCGAATAGTTAAGAGATCGCTGCCATATAGCTGGAATGTTGATGGGTGCGGCGTTAAACAACAAAGAAACGGAAACAAAAACACATTATTTAGTGACAGTCCAAATTTGGAAAATATTTTTTTATCTCCATTACTGAGTGAAAGTGTGATTTAAGGCAGTTTTGACATAAGAGAGGCTGCAGTGGCTGTGTGCTGGTGATTAGGTGATGAGAGTGTGGGTTCGAATCCCAGATGTGACTCATAAAGTACTGAAAAGGTTTCAAGTCAAATATGAAATGTCCAAACATGTGTCAACGCAATAACCAAAGAACATTTACCTGAAATCAAATTCCTGTAAAATGAGAATGCTCTATTCCCCTTGTGTTAAAAATAACTTGACTGTTGATTATGACGGGAAGTCATCCAATACTATACTGAACATGTTTTATATGATATTGTCTGAGGGCATACCATTATCCAAAGGTACCAAATAAGAGATCGCTTTTCATTTTCTCCATTTTATTTTTAATTAGAAATATAACCGAATGTATTGTAATGGCTAATATCTCGTTATCCACATTTACCCACATATGTGAAATTTTACTAATACTTCCTTCAAAATATAATGGAAGCTTTTCAAACATTGGACATGGAGCATATAGTTAGGCCGAGTACCTTTTGACCGACCCTCTTAAGTACTTTCCCAGCATTCAGCTTTAATGCAGCTGAAAATAAGTACCATATCGTTTTAACACAATGTTTATTATTATTTTTAACGTATAGAACAGGGCCTAGATTTTCGAAGCTCTCTTAGCGCTAAGGTAGTCGTAAGTTAATGTTAATGTATGGCACGTACGACTATCTTAGCGCTAAGAGAGCTTCGAAAATCTAGGCCCAGGTTTTTAAACCATTTTGCAATTCATCGGATTTTTATATAACACTCACTGCGTTCAATGTGTGTTTAAAAAAATAGGGAACCCTCGTGGTTGAAGACGATAACACGTCGCAGAGACTGACGTCGTTGATGACGTGCATACTGCAGGTGCTGGTCACACTGAAGTCACACTGCATCACATTGTGGTCACCTGGGCTATGGACATGTGACCTATCTTGTTGGTACTATTTCCGACCTCACCATATCAGCATATTGATATGTTCACGCCGATAATAACACGCCTCCTGCGACGGCTGCGGTTACAGCGACATCACAGCGTTACGTGATCGTCATTATGATTAAATGACCTTGTCAAGTACAGTAACGTCATACGAAAACGATTTGAGTGAGTTGATTTTTACGCCGCGTTGAATAGTATTTCAGTCATATCATGTCAGTTTTGATATAGGAGGACAGACCACAGTTTGCCATTAATTTTGGTAAAGTCATTAACATGGATATTTTATTGACAAATCTAGAAACATAATCATGTTAAATGGTGATCGAACGCTCTAGTCATAAACATTGTGGTAACACCAAGGGACGCAACTTCACTCAGCGGAGAAGAGTGAGTATGGTTTTACGCCGCTTTTAGCAATATTCCAGGAATATCACGGCGGGGACACCAGGAATGGGCTTCACACATTGTTCCCGTGTGGGGAATCGAACCCGGGACTTCGGTGTGACGAGCGAACGCTTTAACCACTAGGCTACCCCACCGTCCCCCAGCGAAGAAGAGTTTCGCCTCCGAGGGATCACATCCCGGAATTCGTCTTTTCCTTTTCATATCTGCTATTTAAGGCCACTGACCGCACTCAGCGATAGTCCATCCACAAGACAACGGCTTGTAAAGAGTCAAGTCTGGGTCAGACAATCAGGTGATCGATATTGTGAGCAGGGTGCCATGGGTTACAGTGACACCTGATCCACTGACTCTCTTACGATCAGCTTGGGTTGCTGGAGACAAGTACTAGACCAGGAACGCCATAGTGCACGTGATTTGATTCTTTATTGCACTCCCAGCTCGACTTGAACATTTTTTGTGCAGATAGCGTCTGTAAGACCTGAGCAATGATAATGTAATATAGAAGAAATGCACATCTAAACTAATCCTCCTGTATTTTGGATATAGGCTGTATTATTCTGTGAGCAGCGTTAAACCCTTATCGAATTATTATTATTCTTGTTATAGCACAGAGTGAGACAACACTGAGATTAAAACTCCATATTCAAACAATCGAGATTTGTCACACACGATAGAAGCGTAAACAGATCCCAGGGCCGCGTCACCAGATACTCTGTTGTGATCGTGTAGGTCAGTTGTGATGACCGCGCTAAGGACAAGGTCCACAATCAACATACAATCACTCGTCGACTGTAATCGACACACGATATGCAACGTTTGCCTTGCTGTCACAACCATCCAACAGGGGGATCACTGTGACATTATCAGTGTGTGCCCCGGTAACAATGCTTTGTCTGAAGACGATGTCACATGTCTCTAGTTTGATGAAATACATATGACGCGGTACTAGCAGCCGTACAAAAATACACCCCCACCCCTCAAAAAATAAATAAATATGAAAGCAAGCAAAACAAAAAGCGCTGTCACATCAGAAATCGTGGTGGAAGTACATTTCTGACTATGACAGAAACAATTATGTAAATATAGCAGATTCACTTCAAGTATGCACTTTCAGTCTCTACGTTACTGTAACTCCCTACCATGCTTTGAATTAGAGTATTAGCCTTGAGTGCGGGCCTATTAAATGTGTTAAGTGTTGTCCAACGTTGTTATGGCGATTTATCAATAACGGAAGTCGAACAGTGGGCGAGTCAAGACATTTGTAGTTGATTTACTCAATTTAGTTTGACAAATGGTTTAACAATAGAATTTCAACGAAAATCCAATCGTCCTATTGTACTATTGTTTCCTATTTATCAGGAATGCCAATGATATGAACATTGTTTGATGTTTTTGTATAAGGAATTACACATTACCCCTAAAATTACCAGTATATGGAACTATACAGACGTGTTTATCCACCTGCTGGCCCATCCTTTTGTATCAAGTAGGACAGTATGACGCAAAATGAGGTTAAATGTTGCTTTCAAGAACGTTGCACTTATTTAGCGACGTACATGCAGTGTGTGCGTGCGTGTGTGCGTACGTTTAGGTGTCTGGACGGACATCAGAAGGTCGGTGACACGACAATCCCAGACACGTCGCACTAAACTCTTAAAAAGATAATACTTGTTACACTTCCTGAAACCCTGCATTGGTAAGATACAACGAGGACTAGACCTCCGTGTCTCTGTGGGGCACCAGTGTTAAACTGCAGCGAGGAATCCCAATGGGCTATAAGCGTTATTCTGCAATAATACATGCAGCAATACACACAGAAGCACGTGCATGCATATTGCTTTATAATATACGTACACTGAGTAAGTAAATATGGTTTTACGCCGCTTTTAGCAATATTCCAGCAAAATATGGTGGGGGACACCAGAAATACACCCGTGAAGATCCGCGTTACAATTGATCTTCAGCAACCCATGCTTGTCGTAAAAGGCGACTAACGGGATCGGGTGGTCAGGCTCGCTGACTTGGTTGACGCATGTTATCGTAACCCAATTGCCTAGGGCATTCATGCTGTTGATCACTAGATTGTCTGGTCCAGACTCGATTATTTACAGACCGTAATTCCATGTAGCTATAATATTGCCTAGTGCGGCGTTTAACAACCAACTAACCAACCAACCATCAGAAATGGGCATCACACCTTGTACCCATCTGGGCAAACGAACCCGGGCAATTTGTCTGACAAGCTAACGCTTTAACCACTAGGCTACAACTCCACCCATATTAGAAGAATTTTATTACAAGTACATTTGAAAACTATTTGTAGGATATTTGGAACAACAATCGGTCAGTGCCAAATAAAATGAACCGATCTTAAACAGTTTGAAAACAAATGATTTAATGTCTACCAAAAACAGATGAAGGGTGTCCATGCCACAAGAGAGCATTTCCCAAGGCGAGCAGAGAATAGCTGGTTCACTCGAAGACTGGATGATTTCAGGTCTGACAACAGAACATGGAAATTTACCGTTTTTACATGTCAAGATCACTGTTAGTTGACATGTTGACCTACAAGTCTTCCCAGAGGTCAACTTCAAGTACATACACCATATCGTCTTAAGGTAAGTAGGTACAAGAGGACCATCTTGATCGTACATTTAAACAACCTACACGGGTATTTGTGTGTGTTTTAGTCGCACAAAGGATTAAAGTTTGACTTAATCCTGCTTCCCGGTGACCGGGGCAGTTTAGTATCGGGTACGAGGCAAGCGACACCCTTCACTTGGAGTGTCGGAATCTGTCTAACAACCCAGTACAACACGGCTTGAAGATAGAATTGTCCTCAAAAATGATTATGTCTTTCACAATAAACTAAAGCCTCGATTGACATCTGGATTTGCGTAGTCATGATGCTTTATCAAAAGTAGGTGAACTCATAATCTTGTTTTCGGACAGGTTTCTATATAGAGACATTGGTCGTTTATTTTTGTTAACGAAGGCAGTTGAACTATGTATTTAAGCAGAAATAGGGTAAATATTTTGACATTTTCTCAATGATTACCCATTTTCCAAGCGATATTTCCAATGTATTGGTAATATGTTATTATCATTATTGAAATGATTTCACGTCTACTTTCAATTTTTGTTTTCACTCAGTGCTGCGTACACCTAAAATTACGAATACTACTTACCCCAAATTATAAAAGCACTTGTAAGTAGTCACTCTGCAGGACAGAATGTCGATCACAGATGTAAACCTACAATACATATTCCATGGTCATAAATGGTTGAGATTTCAAGTAAATGTAAATTAACTGAAAAATAGAAAATATACTGGAGTTTTTACCGACACCTACTCAAGAAAGTGTTTCATATGGTGAATAGAAATATCTGACACGTTGTATTTGCGCCCCACACTGATGAGTCCCCTCTAAAAGACCCACCCCCAAAAGAAATATAAACACAGAGAATTTACAGAAACCAAATAATATCATATATTCGCCCACGTACTTGTTTAACCCTGTACAACGACATTATCTCTAAAAGAAAGAGGTGTTATCTTATCACTGATAAACAAGTCGCTCCATGTGTGGAGTAAACAAAAACCGGCTTTAACCGGAAGCATGTTCCCATGATGATCTAGATACTGCACCGGCGTGTTCACTAAACAGTTGGGTCAGACAGTGCAAGGGTTATTGTTGTTCTTTATGAATACCGTGTTCATTTTTTTATAAATTCATCCTATAAAATTTGTAAACTAGCAAACTGTTATAACTGGCTGACCGCTTTCTTAAAGCTGCCTTTCAGGGTACGAATATGCTTGTAAATTGAGTGAGTGAGTGAGTGAGTGAGTGAGTGAGTGAGTGAGTGAGTGAGTGAGTGTGAGTGAGTGAGTGAGTGAGTGAGTGAGTGAGTGAGTGAGTGAGTGAGGAGTGAGTGAGTGAGTGAGTGAGTTTAGTTTTACGCCGCTTTTAGCAATATTCCAGCAAGATCACGGCCGGGGACACCAGAAATGGGCATCACACATTGTACCCATGAGGGGAATCGAACCCGGGTTTTCGGCGTGTTGATTGGACCCTTTAACCACTAGGCTACCACACCGCACCGCTTGTAAAATTGAAAATGTTAAGTCCGCATTTATTAATTTGGAAATGTTTGTACAAAACAATATATTTTAGAGGTACACTTTATAAGGGAGAGTTGTTTAGACCTGTCGGCTAGGGTACCAGATCTTAAGATTCAAAATAAAATTATTTGTCCATGATATAATTCTCCCAATTATACTGTAACCCCTTTAACAACACAGAAACCAATATTTCGAATTTTGAGAACTGAAGTATGATTCATCATTTGAAAAATACTCAACTCTTAAAATCTGGCTTTTCAAGTGAGTTAGATCATGGAGTGGAATACAGATCGGTTTGCTCCTCAAATGATTCCAAGCATTGTCATTATGAGAGTGTTGTCGGCTTATACATAAGAGTGAGTGAGTGAGTTTTGGTTTTACACCGCTTTTAGCAATACTCCAGCAATATCACGGCGGGGGACACCAGAAATGGGGCTTCACACATTGTACCAATGTGGGGAATGGAACCCGGGTCTTCGGCGTGACGACCGGACGCTTTAACCAGTAGGCTACCCCACCGCCCCGAATTATACATAAGAACAGTGTATGACACTGGCCCATGTGGTGAACCAATGATTCGAGATTATTTGAACATAATGCATACAATATGGCTCACCTGGACCGTCATACTATGTCCACATACAGATGCATCTGTAAGTTGGAAGATAAATGTCTTCTTACAAATAGCTGATACTCTGGAGATACTGATGCCGGATATGAGAAAACTATGGAATCCTAGTAAGGACATTATAGCGTAAAAGCACAAACTGCTACAGTTAACATAAGCGGGACAATACGACAATCGGCAATCTTCTAGCATTCCATAGAAAATCACAAAAATCAACGTTTTACGCATACTTCGCCGAACTTTCGGGGAAGGGGGGACCTATGATGCCTGAAGTAACACGATGATGATACCCTCATTGTACGACGGAATGTCACAGAAGACTTTTTAAATTCTGAATATTTTGGTTAAAATGGAGCTATGTCATATATACACAAACAGTATTCCTCTTTAAAGCACCAGCCATGTTATAATACAATAAGTACACGTGCTGTATATGCTTTAAGAACCAAATACTCGTAAAATTGTAACTGCAAAATATTTTAATTGGATTTAAACAAATACAAAAAATAAATTTGGTAACAGTTTACTTGAGATTATAAACTTGAGTATAAACAATGCCGGAAAATACATTTTTGGTCATCAAAATGTGGTACGAAGACAGTATCCAGTGCTTCCTGTTGATACCGTTGATCATTGAGTGTTCCAGGTAATGCAATGAGATCCAACTTGTAGTCATACCAAACGCTACCCCACACCATCAAGAGCTCAGCCACACCATCAAGAGTTCAGCCACGCCACCAAGGGTTCAGCCACACCATCAAGGGTTCAGCCACACCATCAAGGGTCAGCCACACCATCAAGGGTTCAGCCACACCATCAAGGGTTCAGCCACACCATCAAGGGTTCAGCCACACCATCAAGGGTTCAGCCACACCATCAAGGGTTCAGCCACACCATCAAGGGTTCAGCCACACCATCAAGGGCGTCAGCCACACCATCAGCCACACCATCAAGGGTTCATCACACCTCATCAAGGGTTCAGCCACACCATCAAGGGTTCAGCCACACCATCAAGGGTTCAGCCACACCATCAAGGGTTCAGCCACACCATCAAGGGTTCAGCCACACCATCAAGGGTTCAGCCACACCATCAAGGGTTCAGCCACACCATCAAGGGTTCAGCCACAGCCACCATCAAGGGTTCAGCCACACCAGCCACACCATCAAGGGTTCAGCCACACATCAGGGTTCAGCCACATCATCAAGGGTTCAGCCACACCATCAAGGGTTCAGCCACACCATCAAGGGTTCAGCCACACCATCAAGAGGTCAGCCACACCATCAAGGGTTCAGCCACACCATCAAGGGTTCAGCCACACCATCAAGGGTTCAGCCACACCATCAAGGGTTCAGCCACACCATCAAGGGTTCAGCCACACCATCAAGGGTTCAGCCACACCATCAAGAGCTCAGCCACACCATCAAGAGCTCAGCCACACCATCAAGAGCTCAGCCACACCATCAAGAGCTCAGCCACACCATCAAGAGCTCAGCCACACCATCAAGGGTTCAGCCACACCATCAAGGGTTCAGCCACACCATCAAGGGTTCAGCCACACCATCATCAAGGGTTCAGGCTCAGCCACACCATCAAGGGTTCAGCCACACCATCAAGGGTTCAGCCACACCATCAAGGGTTCAGCCACACCATCAAGGGTTCAGCCACACCATCAAGGCTCAGCCACACCATCAAGAGCTCAGCCACACCATCAAGAGCTCAGCCACACCATCAAGAGCTCAGCCACATCATCAAGAGCTCAGCCACACCATCAAGAGCTCAGCCACATAATCAAGAGCTCAGCCACACCATCAAGGGTTCAGCCACACCATCAAGGGTTCAGCCATACCATCAAGGGTTCAGCCACACCATCAAGGGTTCAGCTACACCATCAAGAGTTCAGCCACACCATCAAGGCTTCAGCTGCATGAATCATCTGGTGATATGCATCGGTACGAAGCCTCTGTTGGCAACAACGGCCGTCGGTAACGCGTAGAAGATAAGGATTGTCATAAGAACCAACGAACACTACACCATGTCATCAAGTTACGGTGTTCGTGAAGCCTGCTGCACGCCAGTTCCTTGTCTGTGAATATCTGAGGGAAAAGGACGTCTGATCAGATGGTGTTCCCTTATACCAGCAGCCCAAGCCTCCTTCTGATGGTACTGGTAAAGTGTTGGACCTCCACTCTCCGTTGCAGGCTCAGTTCTTCGGCATGGGTCATGGGATTGCTTCTTGCCAAACGATCTGGACTCGGCCATTGGTCTTACTCCAGTTCTTGGACAATACTTTACTTTCACCTTTCCTCACACGTGGACTAATAACCGTGAGGTTAATTTTCAAGTTAGCACCGACGTTACGACAGGACACCCCTGCATCGTGCGCGCCAATTACATGCAAGCGTGTACTTTCTGAATGTCTATGTTATGTCATGTCAAGAAAAGATTATCTCTAGTTCTGTCTTCTTTTATACCGTTTCAGAAACAAGCAGTGCACATACTGCTGTTATGAAAGTTATACCCCAATGTGCCTGGTGACCACATGACCCATGGCCTTTGAAGTACCAAGTGAAGACGTGCATCACTTCGGTTTGGTTTGGTTGTTGGGTAACGCCGCATTCAGCAATATTCCAGCTTGCGGTCTGTAAACAATCGAGTCTGGACCAGACAATCCAGTAATCAACAGCATGAGCATCGCTCTATGCAACTGGGATGCAATGACATGTGTCAACCAAATCAGCGAGCCTGACCACCCGATCCCGTTAGTCGCCTCTTACGACAAGCATGGGTTGCTGAAAACCAATACTAACCCGGATCTTCTCGGGTTCACATGAAGCTGATACGCCATGATGTTACTGGAATACTGTTGAAAGAAAACAGTTGATCATGCCAACTGTCTCAACATTTCATCATCATCATCATCATCATCATCATCATCATCATCATCATCATCATCATCATCATCATCATCATCATCATCACCACCACCATCATCATCATCACCTACACCACCACCACCATCCTTATCATCGTCATCACCATCATCATCATCATCATCTCAGGACCTTTATCCCCTTTACAGGTAGCCCAGACAGGGTATGAGACTCCTCCCACTGTCAGATCGCATCTAGCAAGAACCTTTCGGAGAATGTGTGCAAAGAAATAAACCCTCCTGCATTACCCAGAGTGTCAGAAGGGCGCAGTTGTGGAAATTAACTAAAGCACCAAGAGTGAGTGAGTGAGTATGGTTTTACGCCGCCTCTAGCAATATTCCAGCAATGGGCTTCACACATTGTACCCATGTGCGGAATCGAACCCGGGCCTTCGGCGTGACGAGACAACGCTTTAACCACTAGGCTATCCCACCGCTCCTAAAGCAACAAGAACAGTGGGGAGTCGGACATATTGTTTCTTGGAATACAAGTGTGACATGTGATAGACGAGATCTGCACATTTATCATGTTTTATTGAATCTTGTCAGTCAGATTAATGACAAAAAGGACAGAAAATTCAATGATAACAGTATTAGTTTTGTAAAATAACAGCGTCAGGTTTGTTGGCTTGGCGACGTCCGGGGCATATTCCGAAGACATATAAATGTCAAATTACGTGACGCCTTCTACATAAACGCAGGGGCAAAAGAAACGCTACTATTTAGTACTATTATCATTATTTGATATTTATGCATTCACCACCATGAGGATATGACCCCATATGTTGGATAGCAGGACACTTCAGGAGCGCCACAAGCATAACGATTAAAGAGAAAATGGTTTTTATCGAATAAAAGTAATTTATTAAAACGTACAAGGTGTGCAGGAAAGTCGGGTTCGACAACGTCAACAGCCTCCGTTGATCTGGAATTCGTTGGCACTGGTCCTACAAGAGGAATGGCGTAGGATCCCTGATAAAGACTTTTATCTTACCCTCATGTAAAATACTTTCATTTCATTGGTCATTGACGGTTTAACAAGTTTCCGTGTCACCCTCACAGGAGGTTGACAACTGGAAAAAATATTACCCGCTGCCACGGTAACCGCCAAGCTCTCCGCCGAGAAGCTGAAGAGCTAACAATCGTATGACGTCATAATATGACGCATGCCGTGCCCGGAGTTCGAAAACCGTTCGATCAGCTGTTTTTGTGTTCACTTTGTACAGATTTATTTTACCGACTTTCACTGCTTTATTTAAGCTATTTGATACATTGAGTGGTTTGCACACTCAGCTTAAACATAATTAACAATTTTTATTGCAGTTTTATGCTTGTCAGAATATGTTTCACTGATGTTAAAAATCCAGTCGAGAGGCAGACGTCATTTTGTTTACATGTCATATAGTCGGTAGCGATCTTTAGCATAAAATAAAATGATGTTTTGTACATTTGACAGGGCGGTAAGATAAATACGTTGTATGCTTCTCCCTCGGGTAATACGGTCTGATGTACGCCTCTTTGTAGCAGTGTCACCCGAGCCGGTAGGCGTAAAAGGCGTATTACCCTCGAGAGAAGCATACAGCTTAGCTCCGTTCAGCGTCGTCATCGACGCTCGATGTGGTCAGATTCGATATTAAGGGAGCAATGTCACACATTTTCGACATTATTGTGTCCTATATTATATACATTGGGGCATATGCACTCACTCTAGCTTCCTGTTGATACAATAAATGACTTATTATCCCTTACGGCTTGCCTGAAATCGATAATTGAAACTTCGAGGCGAACAGCTTCCAAACAGAGAACACTTGCCAGATATGGAATGTAACTAAACAATTACTCCGTACATCGAAAACTGTCGCATGCGGTGTTGTCGGTGTTTGCTCAACTGGTTTAATCCAAGGGTTCGCGTGAAATAATGTTCTGCCGGTAGAGGGCGCGAGAGTCGATTTAATGCAAGGTTGCATTAATTCATTCGAATTTTTTTATTTAATATTGTAATCTGAATGCGTATTTTTTGTGTTCTGTTGTTTGCGAGTTGAAAAATACATGTTGGCTTTTCTTTTGTCCGAGTATATTCTTGGCCCAACAACCATGGATGGAGTTGTAGACGAAACCACTACAATAGCTAAGGCGGTAACACAAGGATCGAGCCACGCCAAAATTGCGCTTGAAATAGTGTGTTTGTGTCAGCGAAGGGCGTCCATTAATTTTTTGTTGGATACTCTCATTACATTCATTACAACACCTAAATTTCCCATTTACATTGGTAGATATATAAAGGTAACCAAAAACTCAATTGTGTGAAATGTGGTCCTGTAATTATGAGTACCACTTTTTACTGATTTGTACTGTCTATGATGATCTACGTAAACGTTTTATCCCTGTCGATGTTTTCACCCATCCAACCTTGTGTAAATTTAATCGTCTGATGAGTAATGCTACTCCTCTGGTTTTAAGAAATCTTGCCATGTTCATCTTCTATGCTAACAATCGTCGTCGCTGCAGCTTGAAGGCTGCCAATGTATAACGTTGTACCATGGGCCGATGGCCTACATTTACATGAATAAAGACTATATATACATTTTGAGACAAAATATATATTTTACGGTTACGAGTGGGAAGTGAACCATCAATTGAAGTCAACATTGACATTGAGATGTAGAATGCCTTGTTTTCATCGCGAGTCATGACATGTTCCGCCGCGGGATCATCAGACAAATAAACTTTGATGTATTCAAAAGTGCACCATAAAATTCTGTTATTAAACGCCTCCATTTTAGCATACCGGGCCGTGAACATCCGGGTTAGAATTGGTCTTCAGCAACCATGCTTATCGTAAGAGGCGACTAACAGGATCGGGTGCTCAGGCTCGCTGACTTGGTTGACATATATCATCATATTCCAACTGCGCAGATGGATGCTAATGCTATTAATCACTGGATTGTCTGGTCCAGATCGATTTACAGATCGCCCATATAGCTGGAATATTGCTGAGTGCGGCGTTAAACAAAACAAAGTCAAAACAAACAAGCAATAAAATGCCGATAAAAATTTCGTATCATACTGAAAATTGTGTTATCTACCAGTCCTGTAAGGCGTACATCATGAGGCAGCTCTTGTCTCGGCATGACGGTCAGACATGCCCTGTAATCGCTATACGTAACCTACTGACCGCTACGTGCACGAGTGTTGATAAACCATCCACATAATCTGACATAGCGGCTTGAATACGTTTCACAATCCAGTTAAACCTTCAAATATCTCAAAACCAAAGATATCTGCGACACCCCACAGAATTTAAGAATCTTTTACATACGTGTTCTCGAATGAATCTGTAGTTTCTTTAATTGTATGGTATGGAGCTTGAATTGTTGTTAATATCGTGAACTTCCAAAACAACGATCACAGGGAAAATGCCTCTGGACAATTGCCGCCGTAACTTTCTTTCCCTGGAATAAATAAAAATAGTCCCCGGAATACAAACCACTATAATGATTATGAGTATTAATTTTAGGATTATAACTCTGTTTTTGGAACTGCCACCTTATGCCAAGTTTTATTTTTTATCATATATTTTGTCACTATACATAAGAAGAAATATGTACAAAGCAATGTTTGAGGATATACTCATGGAAACGAATAAGGGAACACACGAAAGAACAAGGGTTCTTTTATATATTTCCAGAATTTCGCCCACAGTGCAATATAAAGCTGGTGAAGAAACCTGGAAAAGAATAAAGGAACCCTTGTACTTTCATGTGTACCCTTATTCGTTTCCATGAGTATATATTTCTAATGGCTGATGTTGTAAGAAAATTGATGTTCATCATTGTTACAAAACTGTGGCAATACGCATGAGACACCCTACATGTTAAGAGTATCTCCTGATTCGGGGATTTCTCAGACAGGTAGATTCTCACTTATTCCAGGTATAATGTCACAATATACGTTTCAAAATGTCTTTTATCATGGACCATGAATTAAGACAACCTGAATCTAGCGTTTCAAAGCTTGAATGAACTTAATATTCAAACGTTGAACGTTTACGTCTTCTCCGAACTTTAGTCCTCTGTTATCAGTGTATGGGGTGAGGGGAAGGGGGCTGAGGTGGGGAGTGGGTCAGTTGCCCCGGGTGTTATCCTGATGACACAGGGATTCTCGCTCCTTAGCTGTAACGTTCCATAGCTGAACATTGTTTGACGTCATGGTTTTCACGACATGCCTTTGATATCCATTTTCAGAAGTTTTCACCAGGGACAACTGAAGGTCGTGTTCTCTTGGGTTCAGGCATACCCAATGACACAGTGTTTCGGTTCAAGAAACCTGTACCAAGTGACATATAGCCTTTATTTACACCACAGGTATACAATAAATTGTGTTGTTAAATCTGGCACTGGCCCTTACCCAGCGTAATTATTAGTCGATGACAAGCAGTACTGAAAATTCGATAAGATCGTGAACCACAACATAAGGTAAATATTTTGATGTGAATTCCCACGTCTCCCGATCCTCAGTTATCTCTTATCTGGGTAACGACACTAACTCGAAGATCACGTGAGGGTCACGAGCTAACTTCGACAGATATAAATATTGGTGTTTCTTCAGTAATCGTTACTATTTTGTGCGGAACCTAACCATCTTGACCGCAGTAAGTAGATGAGCTTTGTACTGATATTCGTAGACTAAAATTCAGACTCGATTAACTCAATATTAGTTGATTTTATAACCAGGCACATTGAATCAACGCATTGTACAAAATTGTACCTGTTACAAAATACCTACATGTATTGTATGATGCATTTTGGTATCGATATTGATTTCGTTTAAAATAGATCAATCCTTCAAATATTCTGTGCAATGCGTACCTTCCAGGAGATGTGACACTGTCTTCAAAATCAGCAACATCTTATTGTAGCTTTGTTTATTGATATATTAAGGAAACATCGAAAACTGTATTAACATATATTTTCATCATGAACAGATGTTTCGTCTGGCGTTAGCTGCTGTGTTGTTGGGGGTGGCCCTGAGTTTCCGGATTGATCTGGACGCGGAATGGAAGTTGTTCAAGGAGACACTCAATAAGCAGTACACAGACTCTGAGGAGACCCAGAGGTAAGCATGTACAGGTTAGGCTTAGGAAAGACGACACAGGGTAGGTTTAAGCAACCAGATACTGATTCGGTATAAGCAAGTAGATAATGGTTTAGCTTTAGCAAGCCTAGTTAGGAATACAAGGATAAAGTAGAATGCTTTTTGGCATACCGTAGAAAGCTAGATACGAGGTAGGCAGAAGCAAACAGACATAGGGTAGTCGGGAACATTGTAGCCATGGGCAAACCTAGGATAGAAGGATCTGTGGTAGTCAGAAGCATGCTGACACAGGGTAGTCGGGAACATTGTAGCCATGGGCAAACCTAGGATAGAAGGATCTGTGGTAGTCAGAAGCATGCTGACACAGGGTAGTCGGGAACATTGTAGCCATGGGCAAACCTAGAAGGATAGAAGGACACAGGGTAGTCTGTAGGGGCAAACCCATAGTCAGAAGCATGCTGACACAGGGTAGTCGGGAACATTGTAGCCATGGGCAACCTATTGTAGCCATGGGCAAAGTCCATAGGATAGAAGGATCTGTGCTGTAGTCAGGAAGCATGCTGACACAGGGTAGTCGGGAACATTGTAGCCATGGGCAAACCTAGGATAGAAGGATCTGTGGTAGTCAGAAGCATGCTGACACAGGGTAGTCGGGAACATTGTAGCCATGGGCAAACCTAGGATAGAAGGATCTGTGGTAGTCAGAAGCATGCAGAAGCATGCTGACACAGGGTAGTCGGGAACATTGTAGCCATGGGCAAACCTAGGATAGAAGGATCTGTGGTAGTCAGAAGCATGCTGACACAGGGTAGTCGGGAACATTGTAGCCATGGGCAAACCTAGGATAGAAGGATCTGTGGTAGTCAGAAGCATGCACACAGGGTAAGGAACATGCCATGGGCAAACCTAGGATAGAAGGGGTAGTCAGAAGCATGCTGACACAGGGTAGTCACAAGCATGCTGACACAGGGTAGTCAGGAACATTGTAGCCATGGGCAAACCTAGGATAGAAGGATCTGTGGTAGTCAGAAGCATGCTGACACAGGGTATCAGAAGGCCATGGGCAAACCTAGGATAGAAGGATCTGTGGTAGTCAGAAGCATGCTGACACAGGGTAGTCGGGAACATGGTAGCCATGGGCAAACCTAGGATAGAAGGATCTGTGGTAGTCAGAAGCATGCTGACACAGGGTAGTCGGGAACATGGTAGCCATGGGCAAACCTAGGATAGAAGGATCTGTGGTAGTCAGCATGCTGACACAGGGTAGCATGCTGACACAGGGTAGTCGGGAACATTGTAGCCATGGGCAAACCTAGGATAGAAGGATCTGTGGTAGTCAGAAGCATGCTGACACAGGGTAGTCGGGAACATGGTAGCCATGGGCAAACCCAGCGATAGAAGGATCTGTGGTAGTCAGAAGCATGCTGACACAGGGTAGTCGGGAACATGGTAGCCATGGGCACACGCAGCGCAGGAGGATCTGTGGTAGTCAGAAGCATGCTGACACAGGGTAGTCGGGAACATGGTAGCCATGGGCAAACCTATGATAGAAGGATCTGTGGTAGTCCAAAGCATGCTGACACAGGGTAGTCAGACCTTGGTGAGCCAGGAACAGGCTAGGCACAGTTACACACGGGATAAGTGGATCCGGGATAGGCAAAAGCGAACGAACACAACTGCAAGGAAGATTACTTGAGATAGAATTCGACTGGGTAAGCAGATCTGAGGGAAGCAGAAACAGGGTGGGCAGATATACATCACAATGTTCAAAGTATGACTCAGTACTGCCACTAAATCATTTTCCACACACGCTTATTGGTACTCTCACAAACGTACCATTCAAACACCACGAATTTTATATGTATAGGCGCTTCATTTTCGAGACGAATGTGGACTATATCCGAAAACACAATCTGGAGGCCGACAAGGGAATGCACTCTTACAGACTTGGTATCAATGAATACACAGATCTGGTGAGTAGAGTCAGTTTGAGATTGCTTTGGTAGTAAATTTGATACATTGATATGGGAAAGCTAGTTTGATGTTAATATACACTATAACAGCGATGGTAAATGTGTGCATTTGGAATACAGGTCCAGTACAGCGTGATGTATTTTAGCAGACAAGGGTTAAGTTCGTTTCTGCCATGAAGTAAGTCCATTTCTCAAAACAGGGTTATACATCTTTGTAGAAGTAAGGATGGTTTGTCGTATTCAGGGTATATTTGGAAATAGTCTCTAATAGTCCCAGAGTGGAATGCGTTTGCTTGAGGTCATGTGGTTTTCTTTCGCAGTCACACAAAGAGTTTATTACCATGATGAACGGCTACCGCATGGAACTGAAGACACCAAACTCCAGAGTCTACAGTAACGACTCTGTCAGCGAACTGCCCACCAAGGTTGACTGGAGAACCAAGGGCTACGTCACCCCCGTGAAGAACCAGGTGGGTGTTGCTGGTAGATTAAAATAAATGTAATCAAATATAGAATTATAGGTTATGCATGATTTGTCACGGAAAATGAAAATGAAGTTCCAATGAAAGTATAGTTCTGGATTGTGGCATATCGTTCCGAATTGATCTATCTAAATGTTATTGACTACAAATGTAAGTGATAAAATCGAGTCCTGTGTACGGTTCACGCTATATCACAATCGTGTGAATATAATGCCACTATGAAATATTAACGATTAAAAATTATTTTACAGGAAATCGTTTTTGAACAGAAGCTTAAGGATCATGCATGGTTCAAAGATGTGAAATATAGAGACTGCGCTTCCGCAATATTGTTCGACATAGACTCTTGTTGATTTTATTGTTGATGGACAAGTAAAATCGAAATTGAGAAGTCCCTTCCAGTAGAATACTAAATTATTCCTCATTCCAGAAACAATGTGGTTCCTGCTGGGCCTTCTCCTCAACTGGATCCCTGGAAGGACAACACTTCAAGAAGGAGGGCAAACTGGTGTCTCTGTCAGAACAGAATCTGGTCGACTGCTCCAGGAAAGAGGGTGAATATTTGAATCGAATCTTATTATTCCTGATCCGTCTTTCACTGTGTGTTGTTTTCCTTGGCTACCATGATCTTATCTCGATCTACTTCATTTCCAAATGATCATCATGGTTATCAAAGTCATCTCCTATAGTTCATCTTCCCTCTCCAGCTCAGTGTGTCCAGTCAGTTTCAGTATGAGTCGGTCAGTGTGTAAATTGTGTAGACACGGACATCAACCTATTCTCTATCTCTTCCAGGCAACATGGGATGTGGAGGTGGTTTGATGGACCAGGCCTTCAAGTACATCAAGGTTAACAAGGGTATTGACACAGAGGCCAGCTATCCATACAAAGGGAGGGTAAGAACATTCATCTACATAATAAATAATGTTAATGTGAAGATGTTAAACAGTTTATTGAACCTGGTTACTAAACTCGATTTTAAGCTTGATAACATGGAAATCTCTGATTTTGAAGGTAATGCCTACCTTTAATTATTCTTTCTAAAGTTTGACTTGTGTCTTAGTGTGTATGGTATATCCCAAAATTTGACCGAATTCTATCAACATGGGTCCGCATAACCAAGTGCAATTTCCTGAATATTTGATGTTTATCATGAACCTTATTATTACGAAAGCCGCTTCCTACTCCTTTTAGGACGAGAAGTGCCACTTCAAGCGTGCCGACGTTGGTGCCACCGATACTGGTGCTGTCGACATTAAGAAGGACTCAGAGGAATCACTTCAGCACGCCGTGGCTCAAGTGGGCCCCATTGCTGTCGCCATCGACGCCAGTCACCCATCGTTCCAGAGTTACAGGAGCGGAGTTTATGATGAGAGGGCCTGCAGTTCCAAGATGCTTGACCACGGTGTCCTTGCAGTAGGATACGGTTCAGAGGGTGGCAGTGACTACTGGTTGGTAAAGAACAGGTGCGTGGTGTAGTCCAACTATGTCCGAGTCAGTTCTCTGTGGTGCTGAACTGAGGTTTATCGTCAAGATTACTTCACTTATATTACGACTTGCGTGAACGTATGTGTGTCTGCGCGTACGAACCCCAAGCCCCCCTATGGTAGACTTGTGGTGGAAATTTCCAAGTATGCTGCACCAGTGACAAAAATGATGTCCGATGCAATTCCCTATTTTGACTGATACCATACGTTCCCGAATTATTTCAGGTGAACAAATGACTAGACTTAGCATATGTTTATGACGGGTGCCATCGTTGGGGCAGGATACGCTCACCTTTTCGCGAACTCCTGGTATCATCCCTATTTCATAGTGATTCATAAACACATGCTCTGTCCTCGTATCACGTGGTGGCAATCACTGGATTGTCTGGTAAAGACTCGATTTGTGTATAAGCAACATCGTACATCGTACATCGAACAAATAGCTTCTCATGATATGGTCACAATTGTACAACCGACTCTGCTTTTAGCAAAGACTTCTTATGAATGTGGAAAGGGTTTTGTCGCTTCTATTTATTTGCTGAAATAACTTTTTTCAGTTTTACATGAATAGCCTACTCAGATACAGTATACTTTGTATACTCCGAGTCGAACAGTTCTTGCATTATCCGAATTTCTAGCAGGGTTAAAACAAATACCATCGTTGGTATGACGAGACCAGTGACAGAACCTCTAACCACCCGCTCTCCAGGCAGATTCTCTTCCTGTTCACTACGGAGGCGATCGCTAAGCCAATGAACGTGGCTATTTCAGATATTTTGATAACTGGATTATCAGGCTTCGTGCTGCAGCCCTACGCATAGTTCTTTTTGCCTCGGGGCGGTGGGGTAGCCTAGTCGTTGAAGCGTTCGCTCGACGCACCGAAGACACGGGTTCGATTCCCAACATGGTTACAATGTGCTGCCTATTTCTGGTGTTGCGCGCCAGGATATTGCTTTAATATTGCTAAACAGACGTAAAACTACACTCACTCACTCACCTTATTCGCCAAATCTTGTGACACTGTTATATATCTTGTGTTGCAGCTGGGGCGAGACCTGGGGAATGAAGGGATACATCATGATGTCCAGGAACAAGAACAACCAGTGCGGTATCGCCACCCAGGCCAGCTACCCAACAGTCTAAACATGGCCGTTATATCGGTCTCAGATCTCATCTCAGTTCACTAATAGATCTTCCCTAGATACGCGTGTTCTTGTGCTTTTTTCCGTCTGTGATGTGTTCCAACCGATTGAACGTTCATATGTAAATAAAATATATTTTATTATAATTCAATGTTGGTCATATTTTGATTCAGTGTGTGAGTGAGTGAGTGAGTGACTTGGGTTAACGTTGCTTTTAGCAATATTCCAGCAATATCATGGCGGGGGACGCCAGAAATGGATTTTGCACACTGTACCCATGTGGGCCTTTCCCTGTTCCATGTTTTACCTTGAACATAGAAGGTGACGAGGTGTCAAATTTCACACACGCACGCACGCACGCACGCAAGCACGCACACTTACACATACTTACATTTGCAGTGTTTCGGCGGTTATTTTAGAAATTCGTTGTCAGTTCATGTGTTGACTTTATTTGCACGGCCGGCGATATTACGAATGAAATCGGTAGTTCTCCTCAAAACACAAATACGGTGACATGATTTGACTTTGACATATTTTCACACATGTTAAACTTCATATTTCAAGAAACACCATTGTGTACATATATGTATGTCTTTGTCTTTGGTGATTCTCATTCATGGTTAGTGTTGCTCAAAGAACACCACTGTCAAGATTTCTCTGACATGTGCTTGTACAAAGATGGCATATATATTGTTTATAAAGTACATGCCGTACAAGTAACAACAGATACCTGGTGTTTTCAATTGTGTGGATAGGTAACAGTAGTTAGTTTTAATGACGTTATTGTAAATATGCTTTGGCGGATACGCACTAATCACTGATACGTAGCAGCCACAGATGCTAGAGTACAACAGAATGAAATGTAGGTTTCAATTTCAACGATATCTGTCCATTTCAGACCTGCAACAAATGACTTTGATAACATCCAGTTGTTTCAGGGCACACACACGGCCGTTAAACTTCAAACGAGATTTGTTGTTTTGCTTTAACCACCGGGTCAGCCTGAACAGTTTACTTCGATGCGTAGCTAAGTCGTATATATTGTCTGAAGCTGTATTGTTTCTTAGCGTGCTTCTGTTTGAAATTACTTTTTTCGTCGAAGTGTAACTGTCGAAATGTACGCAGACCTGGCTTTCTCTCTCGCTTCCTCCCTCCCTCGCTCTATCTGACACACACACGCACGCACAGAGAGAGAGAGAGAGAGAGAGAGAGAGAGAGAGAGAGAGAGAGAGAGAGACACACACACACACACACACACGCGCAAAGACACACACATATACACCGAGTGCGGCGTAAAACAATAAACAAATATACATTCATGGCCTACAACTAAAGCAGTTTTTTCATCATGACGACAGAGAACAGATTTTCATTAGAAGTTGTCCTGATACCAGTCCAATGTATCCAAATCTATAGAATATATGTCATGCAGCCTAACACCCTTTGCTCATGCCAATAATGGTTGTCACCCCTCCACACCCCACCCCCCCCTCACACCCTAACCCCCACACCCCTCTCCAATTAAAAAAATTGAAGGGGTGACAACCATTATTGGCATGATATATTTTATGTTCCTTGACAATAGTTCTCGCTAATGTATTTGGCTATCTCAGGCTGTGGTGAATATTAACCTCATTTAGAAAACTATGGGCGATGTGTGTAATCGATATGTGTAATGTACCTCAACATCACAACTTGAAGATCTCAGATCTCGTGGCTTAGGCACGAGGTCTCGGATCACGAGATGTAAGGTATTCTGTGAATATTACTGAAATGGAAACAGACCCCAAAGAAGAAGGTAAATGGATTACGACGTTACCCCCTGGCCGAGGTTCCTTAATGACTAGTACACTAAACGCCAAAAGAAACGGTACCCTCCTTCCTTAATGACGGAGGTACCTATCTTCAGCTGGCGTTGTGATACGTGGACGTCCACTTTTTGGTTTGTCTACGGGGACCCCAGTGTGTCTGAAGCCCTAAATAAGTCTTATAACCGTGATACGATGGCATCCGAGGGCGTTGGCAACAGCATTGTATGTCGACCCCATCTGCACCATCCCAATGGCTCTTTCTCTCTCTTCAGCTGTTAATCGTGGCCTATTTCTCGTACTTGTGTATCATATCATGCATTCTAGGCTCTCTTTACACCCTATAGAATCATTCTACATGTGAAATGGATGCAAATACTGCTTGCATATTGCTGCGTTTTGGCGATTGATATTGCTATGTGTGAACAGAAAATGGAAAAATGTTACTTTGCAAACAAAAATGTTAACAAAGATGATTTTAGATGTTCCTAAACATTTTTCCACAATATCAAAGACACGATTTATTTGTTTTCACTAATGCAAATCAGCAGAAACTGTTTTAAGAGACTGAAATCATAGGAATGATTATTTTACAATTTTACGCACTCTACAGCAGTTGTTTCTTGTTTTAATAGTTGAAAAATGGTGACTTTAAATGGTTTATCTTTGTCTCAAAACAGATTTATATTTCAACCTTTCATTTGGACATCTAAATCACTGTTATTGGTTTATTTCGGCATGGCGGAAAATAGGACAATTTAACTCTTCTGAAAAAGATGCATTTCACCTAAATATGAATGCATTTGAGAAATTGTTTTCGTGATTTGCAAAAAGCTGTGTTGTTAAGCTTTCTTGTAAACTAATACCTTCTAACATATCTTTGAGTAATTCATAAATGTAGGAGGGTAACGTTTCTTTTGGCGTTTAACTCAGATGTGTACGACCGTATATAGATCGATCTTTTCTTTGGCGAATTTATTCACCTTACGAACCATCGTCATATGTTGACTCTAGTTCTATCTATGGGTTGACTGTAGAACCTGACAAGAGTGAGGCACTTTGACGTTTTCTGAAAAGATGTGTTTGTGATAGCGAGGATAAGCATTTAATTTATTTAATTATTTTACTTATAATTACATCGCTGGTATATACTAGCTGAGCTTTTCCTATATAATAGCCGAGCTTTCCACATATAATAGCCGACCTTTCCCCATATCATAGCCGAGCTTTCCACATATAATGTACGACCTTTTCCCGATATAATAGCCGAGCTGCCCACATATAACAGCCGACGTTTCCCCATATCATAGCCGAGCTTTCCACATATAATATCCTACCTTTCCCCATATAATAGCCGAGCTTTCCACATATAATGTACGACCTTTTCCCCTTATCATAGCCGAGCTTTCCATATATAATGTACCACCCTTTCCCCATATAATAGCCGAGCTTTCCACATATAATATCCTATCTTTCCTCATATAATAGTCGAGCTTTCCACATATAATGTACGACCGTTTCCTCATATAATAGCCGAGCTGTCCACATATAATAGCCGACGTTTCCCCATATAATAGCCGACCTTTCCACATATAATAGCCGACGTTTCCCCATATCATAGCCGAGCTTTCCACATATAATATCCTACCTTTCCCCATATAATAGCCGAGCTTTCCACATATAATGTACGACCTTTTCCCCTTATCATAGCCGAGCTTTCCATACATAATGTACCATCCTTTCCCCATATAATAGCCGAGCTTTCCACATATAATATCCTATCTTTCCTCATATAATAGTCGAGCTTTCCACATATAATGTACGACCGTTTCCTCATATAATAGCCGAGCTTTCCCTTCACCTGAGTCGTTTAATTTAATTCCAGACGAGACATCTACAACTACAATCTTCTGGTGATCAAGACACACAATGACAAGTACGACCAGGGCAAAACTACCTTCAGACTGGGGGTCAATCAGTTTGCTGACTGGGTAAATAGCCTCCATCACTGCTTCTGTATTCGTATAGGAATACCAAATGTAATTGTTTAAACGTCCAGGATGCATAACGTTGTTGAAAATATATCTGACCTAAAGCGTTCCAAGCTTTTAGTTTTGCTATGAAAATTAGAGGAGACTGTGATACGGTCAAACACCATTGTGTCGAAACTAAAAGAACCTGCATGAATATATGGAGTTATCCGAAGTTCGACACAATCGGAAAATGATGACGTAATCAAGATCATATTCTGAGACGAAACCTTTTCTTCGAGACAAGTGTAACTTCGACATTTCGAATTACTACACAACGGTGTTCGACTATTTTATATTTGATATTTCTCAATATTTTGTAAATCGTGCAGTTCTCACAGACCGGGATAGCCGGGTGGTTAAAGCGTACGCTCGTCACGCTGAAGTCCCAGGTTCGATTCCCCACATGGGTATAATATGTGAAGCCCATTTCCAGTGTCCTACGAAGTGATATTGCTGGAATACTGCTAAAAGCGGCGTCAAACCATACTCACTCACTCATTGATTTCCCACAGACCACTGGTGAGTACGCCTACTACATGAACGGATTTCGTATGAGCAACTTCACCCGCCACTCCTCCGTTGTACACAGAGCCAAGGCCACCGAATTGCCAGAGACAGTTGACTGGAGGCCAAAGGGGTACGTCACACCCATCAAGAACCAGGTGAGGAAAGTCAATAGTTTACTTAAAAAATATCAATATGTAGCACCAGGGATCAATAGAATAACTGATTTTGTCTTTGCATTTTGTCACCACAATGTGCGGTAGCAACTTTAACAATGTTTACATGTGACATATAAAGGCGACGAAACCCTATCCTCATCCGACCCGTGAAGATCCGGGTTAGAATTGATCTTCAGCAACCCATGCTTGTCGTAAGAGGCGACTAACGGTTGGTTGACACATGTCATCGTATACCAATTGCGTAGATCGATGCTCATGCTGTTGATCATTGGATTGTCTGGTCCATACTCGATTATTTACAGACCGCCGCCATGTAGCTGGAATATTGTTGAGTGCGGCGTAAAACTAAACTCTCTCACTCATTGACTTTCCTCATCCTAACTCTCTGCCTCGGATGCACGATTTAAACTATAACATGAGCTTGGGTGTAATAATTAATATCATATAGCAATGATACCAGATTTGGGTTAAAAGGTGACCGTATTCTAACCCAACGTTGTCACCGTTATGAACACACGCAAAGGCTAATCAACACACGTGTCGCGCCTTAAGACCCAGGTGGGCAAACGATGTCAATAGATCGTCAACCAAAAGCATCAGAGACACGTTTCCATGCAGAAAATCTTTACTCCCGTCTTTACACATTGGAAAGCTGTGGAAAAGTGGAAAGTGTGGCTTTGACTTAAGTAACGTGGACATTGTCCGTCTTCTAAACCCAGAACTGATATATTAACTCCACATCCCTTCCAGAAACAATGTGGTTCCTGCTGGTCATTCTCCGCCACTGGATCCTTGGAGGGACAACACTTCAAGTCTACAGGCAAGCTGGTGTCTCTGTCGGAACAAAATCTGATGGACTGCTCCAGGCCCGAGGGTGAGTGACTTTTGCGAAGCATTGTATCTAACTTCCGTTAGAACGAACCTGTTCGTAGAATAGTTCCTCTTAAAACAAATTCATAGCGATAAATGTTCTTTCTACCCCCTCAAGTGTCGAGGTTTCTCTTGGATTTAGTGTGCAGGTTTTTCAAGAATAGTACCTCAGATGATGAAAAGTGACATCCTCGCATGGGGTCAGGCAGTAAATACTAGTCTAATATTTTCAGGCAAATTGAATGGCCGGGACTTAGGGTAGGGCTGAATAAGCGTACGTTTTTTGAGAACAGCTAGTGATCTTCAGTGGTCCATTCAAATAATGATCTTCACAGATATTTTGCCCTTTACACAAAATGGAATCTAATTCTGAGGATAGTCAAGACTGGATATTCTTCTGCCCAAGACATATAATTAAATGTGTTCTGTAAAAACCTTTATTGTTTTTCAGGTAACATGGGATGTCAGGGTGGTTTGATGGACCAGGCCTTCGAATACATTAAGCTCAACAACGGCGTTGACACCGAGAAGAGCTACCCTTACAAGGCAATGGTGAGAGTGGTTACAATAAAGATGGTAGCTTATGAGATGTGAAGATCCGGGCTGCAATTTGATCTTCAGCAACCCATGGTTATCGTAAGAGGCGACTAACGGATCGGATGGTCAGGTTCGATGACTCGATTGACACATGACATCGTATCCTAATTGCGTAGAACGATGCTCATGGTGTTAATCACTGGGTTGTGTGGTCCAGTCTCGATCATTTACACACCATATATCTGGAATACTGCTGAGCGCGGCGTTATGCAACGATTTTCTTTTTAAAAAGTGGTTCCTCTTGTATGCTGACAAGAAGATACTCGTAATAAATTTCTGTTATTCAATTCAATCAGTTTATTTCGCAAAGAGGCCTTAGGCCCACGTTAAAAAACCATGATAATAATATTTCAATATTAAGTTTGTACTACATATATGAGGAACGTAATGCAAGCGCATCTTTTACATAATTTGCACAATTGGTAGCAAGCAAAAAATTATTAAAAAGAAGTGTATTAATGAAACAATGGCTATTGATGTACACTGGCATGCCTATAAAATATTTTTGACGAAGATCATGATATATTGGGCACTCAAACATAAAGTGAAATTCATCTTCAATATTAATACTGTTACAAAATCTACAGTCTTTTCTGCCTGGGTAATCCATCCTGTCTACCAGTATTTTTTTAATAAAGGAAGTACACCTATTCTTTGTAAAGTAATTCTACGTCTTGCATCTTTGGATTTAATAAAAGTAGATTTTCATTCAATACCGAAAATCTGTTTAACTGATGAATAAATCTAATTTTCTCTTGTAATACAACGGACTCCTATATGTATCTTGCAGAACGGCAAGTGCCACTTCATGCGGGAAGATGTGGGCGCCACCGACACTGGTTACGTTGACGTCGATAGAGATGACGAGATGGCTCTGAAGGATGCTGCTGCAACCATCGGCCCAATCTCCGTCGCTATCGACGCCAGCAAGCAGTCCTTCCAGCTGTATGAGAGTGGAGTATACAGGTAGGAACAAAGGACACACTGCTGGAAAGAAAACAATATAATTCAAAATAGAAATATATACAATATATCCAACCAACCAACCAAACAACTTCGTTACTGAACATCATCATATGTTGAGGGGCGGTGGGGTAGCCATATGGTTCAAGCGTTCATCACGCCGAAGATCCGGATTCGATTACCCACATGGAGTGAGTGAGTGAGTGAGTTTAGTTTTACGCCGCTTTTAGCAATATTCCAGCAATATCACGGTGGGGGGGACACCAGAATGGGCTTCACACATTGTACACATGTGGGGAATGGAACCCGGGTCTTCGGCGTGACGAGCGAACGCTTTAACCACTAGGCTACCCCCCACCCCCCAACATGGATGGGAAGGTAGGGTAGCCCGGTGGTTAAAGCGTTCGCTCGTCACGCAGAAGACCCGGGCTCGATTCCCCATATGGGTACAATGTGTGAAGCCCATTTCTGGTGATATAAGCGCTGGTTATCGATCTTAATCATAGAGATCGATAATTGTTAACTAAATATCGATCAATTATCGATACATATCGGAGACGTACTTATGATAAAAAAATGTCTGAAACAATGAATATATGTTTACATTACTGGTCACTGGTGATTGGTGACATGTTTCTGTATGGATTATTAACAAAACAGCGTACTGAACATAATTTAGAAGCAGACCATGAATAAAGTCTGAAATTTGCATATTGTTTGAGAAATTTGTACAAAATTTCTGTCCCAATTGTTAATGTACGATATGATCGATAATATAATTTTATAGTCATTAATAATCTTTCCTATCGGCAATATTTCCGATTATCGATAATTATAGCCAACTCAAGGTATTATTGCTGGAATATTGCTAAAAGAGGCGTAAAACTAAACTCACTCACTATTTATTTCTTGTAGAACATATACATGACGTACATAGTTGTGTCTGTCAAATAGACCACACGAGAAAAGAAACAAATACGTTTAAAATATCTTCCTGTTTCAAATTAAGCTATCAATTTCTTGTAGACAACGAAGAACCTAAATTTAACAGTTTTTTTTCATGGAATTACCATGATGACCATGTTTGTGTTATTTGAACCTTTTGTATTTTTGTTCCTAGCGATCCCGAGTGCAGCAGCACCCAACTTGATCACGGAGTTCTGGTGGTAGGATACGGCACCGAGATGGGCAAGGACTACTGGCTCGTCAAGAACAGGTATGTCGTCATTTCAGTGACAATACTTCTCTATATACTTTTCTATTACAACACTTTGGACACTAAAAGTGACAATATTTTCACTTATTGTCTTCAGATAGAATAAAATATATTCCTGCAGTTTTTATCTTAAAAAATACAATAATACAAATTTCTTTGGGTACAGTGTCAGGCTATTGTGAATTACACTGTCCATATTGGAATTCCTTCAAAATTACACTTATCTGTGTTTATAATATGCGTTACACGTAACATTGCTAATATAATATCCTGATACATCATCGTTCCGCCATATAGCTGGAAAATATGTCTGAATGGGGACTTAAACAACAAACAAACACACATCATCATCATCATCATCATTTAGCATCATCAACAAACAAACACACATCATCATCATCATCATCACCATCATCATCGTTCGCCATTTAGCTGGAAAATATGTCTGAATGGGGACTTAAACAACAAACAAACACACATCACATCATCATCATCATCATCATCATCGTTCGCCATTCAGCTGGAAAATATGTCTGAATGGGGAGTTAAACAACAAACAAACACACATCATCATCATCATCATCATCATCATCATCGTTCCGCCATTTAGCTGGAAAATATGTCTGAATGGGGACTTAAACAACAAACAAACACACATCATCATCATCATCATCACCATCATCATCGTTCCGCCATTTAGCTGGAAAATATGTCTGAATGGGGACTTAAACAACAAACAAACACACATCATCATCATCATCATCATCATCGTTCCGCCATTTAGCTGGAAAATATGTCTGAATGGGGAGTTAAACAACAAACAAACACACATCATCATCATTATTTTATATTTTGTTTTCAGCTGGGGCGAAGCGTGGGGCGACGAGGGGTACATTAAGATGGCAAGGAACATGAACAACATGTGCGGCATTGCCACCTCCGCCAGCTACCCAACCGTGTAAACTGCAGCCAATACCACATTAAAGGACCACACTGAGGCAGATTGTCAAGATCTCCACATGCATCTGTAGAAAGATACGGCAATGTTTGATAATTTTTCCAATAAAATGTTCATAATCAAGGAATAGTTTTATGTTTTGATATATGAGGACGCACACATAGACACAAGTTGCCGTCGTCATATAGCTGGAATATAGCAGTACTACACTACACAACAATTAAACAAACTGGAAGCTCGGCATGTTCACGTAAGGTTGTAACTACATGATGTGTTATGTTGTGTCTTTACCATAGTCAAGTATGCAGTCACCAGTGTGAATTGATAAACGCAAGGTATTGGGCAAGATATATTGTGTATGTTACTTTTATAGTCAAGCATGCAGTCATTAGTGTGATACAGACAACCCAACGTATGTGGCAAGATGTAAAGATGCATTGTGTATGTTACTTTTATAGTCAAGCATGCAGTCATTAGTGTGATACAGACAACCCAACGTATGTGGCAAGATGTAAAGATGCATTGTGTATGTTACTTTTAGATTAGTGTGATACAGACAACCCAACGTATGTGGCAAGATGTAAAGATGCATTGTGCATGTTACTTAGTCAAGCATGCAGTCATTAGTGTGATACAGACAACACAACGTATGTGGCAAGATGTAAAGATGCATTGTGTATGGTACTTAGTCAAGCATGCAGTCATTAGTGTGATACAGACAACACAACGTATGTGGCAAGATGTCAATATGCATTGTGTTTGTTACTTAGTCAAGCATGCAGTCATTAGTGTGATACAGACAAGAAAACGTATGAAGCAAGATGTAAATATGCATTGTGTATGGTACTTAGTCAAGCATGCAGTCATTAGTGTGATACAGACAAGACAACGTATGAGGCGAGACGTTCATATGATTACACAATGCCATTTGGAAAGTGGTCAAATGTAACATATGTTATATTCCGGATTACACCTTCTTAGATTACACCTATTCTGATACTTTTGTTGGGTTGAGTCCTATCCGGAAGTCGCGGTGGCTGAGCGAGTTAGGCGGCTGAGTTTATGTGCTGGCGATTATGTGCCTGTTTCTGAGGGTGTGGGTTCGAATCCCGGATGGGACCCAACCCAACAAAAGTACAAAAATCTGAACTTTACTAAGAAAGTGTAATCTCAAATATAACATATAACATGAGACGTTCATACATATTGTGTGCAGTTCTTAGGGACCGTTAATAACTTATGGCTGGAGTGTGCGTGTGCGTGTGCGTGTGCGTGTGCGTGTGCGTGTGTGTGTTGATTATAAGGGAGGGGGTCTCCAATGTTGTTCTGGGGAGGCAGGGGTTCATCAGTTTTGTACAAACATATACTACTACTAGGGGGTCAATCCAGAGATTGTTGTTACATTATGAATGCCCCTAGAAGAACGTACAATGTAATGGAGTAATTTGTCACTGGCCCTGTCTATGCCAGCAACCCCATTTTTAATCACGTGCACGTTGATATCTTGTGAACTGCACGTTTCATCATTATCTGGGGTAACGAGATCAACTCAGGTGCAGAACACGTGGGGGTCACGAGATAACTTTGACAGATATAAATACTGGTGTTACTTGAGCAGTCGCCACTGTTTGTTCACAGGAAACAAGCTCATTTAACCAAGGTAGGTGCCTCCATATCGGGCAGTAAATGTACCAAGGTACTAACTTCCTATGCATTTAGCTTACCTGGAACATGGGTGAATAGTGAATTGAGTTGAGTTGTGTTATGTTGAGTTGAGTGATCGGTTGAGTTGAGTGAGTGAGCACAAGATAGGTGTCATTATATAATAACATGTTCAGATATTACTATCATCTGATTCTGTTTGTTAGGTCATACTATTGAATTGGGTCACCAGTCTTGAAATTAACTCGGTTACTCAGCACCGAAAATGTCATATGTATCGTTTTTCTTGAAAGGTGAAATATTATAATTCTGCACATTTATCTGAATGGGGGCGCTGTGGGCGAGCTGGCTAAGGCGCCAGGCTAGTGATCCAGCGAGGTTGAGGTACCGGGATCGAGCCAACCTGTGACCGGGTGTAAAAACCTTGGAGTCAACTCTGTGTGCAGACTCTTTCCGTGTTGTCACAACCCCTAGTGTACAGTACACAACTGTGCACTTATAACAACCCACGAATCCGTTGGTATATGACCAGATGGTGGTCACATGAATACGTGCTAGTTGCGGGTACAGCAACGTGCAGTGAACTTGCACAAAGTACTGTGACTATGTGTCCCAGTCCACGCAGCTGTGAATGGGTACCTCGTTAGGGTGAGAAAGCTACAATAACTCGGTGCGCCTTGTGGCAGCAAGAGTTATATACTCCCCAGGGAGTTGAGATTGATAATACGATGTGCCGTTGAGATTGACATCCAATGATCGAGGGAAAAAATACTAGCGCCTTGAGCATGCACCAGTTGGGTGGATATGTGCGCTATATAAATATACTATAATGATAATAATAAATAATAATAATTACCTTTTTGCTTTTCCCAGATCACAATAACATGGTAATGTATCGATGAACTGTATTGCTGAAAGTCTATAAAGGCATTGAAATGAAAATGGTTTTAAGCAGCGGTTCCTCGGCATGACGAGGAAACACTTTAACTTCAAGGCTATTCAACTGCACTGATAATTACTTGGCGTGAAACTATTTTTGCAACATGCTCCCATTATTTGCCATGACTGTACCCTATGTAGCCTCAAGAACTTTCTGAAGTTAATCGTCAACATTATAGATTGTTTTTCATTTCCGAAAACGGTAACCTGACATATGGATTTGGATTTGGATTTGGATATTAGAAGTGATACTTTATCCTGTTTAAACATTCTTGTGAACATATATTTTTCATCATGTACAGATGTTCCGCCTGGCGTTAGCCGTAGTGTTGTTGGGGATGGCCCTGAGTTTCCGGGCTGAACTGGACACGGAATGGAAGCTGTTCAAAGAGACACACAATAAGCAGTACACCGAGAAGGAGGAGATCCACAGGTAAGTAGGGACTTGGTACAAAGACTGCGTAGAAGCGAACAGACACAAGATAGGTAGATACAGACTAGCAGGAAGAATCAGACACAGCGTGGCAGATTCAGGCATGTAGATACGGCGCAGGTAGATAGCAAGGAAAGGGAAGTTAGAAAATTATTATCCTGAAAATGAATATTCACATAATAGGGTAGGTTTACACAGGAGAGATAGGCAATCATCGGGTAGGTAGAAACTAGCAGGCATGGATTTGGTCGGCAGAGGGAAGGTAGACACTGGGACTCGCAGAGGCAAACAGACAAAGAGAAAGCAAACACGAGCTAGGCAGACACGAACTTGGCAGACACAGAGTAATGAAACACGAACTTGGCAGACACAGATTAATCAGACACGAACTTAGCAGAAACAGATTAATCAAACACGAAGTTGACAGACACTGAGTAATCAGACACGAACTTAGCAGAAACAGATTAATCAAACACGAAGTTGGCAGACACTGAGTAATCAGACACGAACTTAGCAGAAACAGATTAATCAAACACGAACTTGGCAGACACATAGTAATCAAACACGGGCTTGACAGACACTGAGTAATCAGACACGAACTTGGCAGACACAGATTAATCAGACACGAACTTGGCAGAAACAGATTAATCAAACACGAACTTGGCAGACACTGAGTAATCAAACACGGGCTTGGCAGACACTGAGTAATCAAACACGAACTTGGCAGACACAGATTAAGCAGAAACGAACTTGGCAGACACAGAGTTATCAAACACGAACTTGGCAGACACAGAGTAATCAAACACTAACTTGGCAGACACAGAGTTATCAAAACGAACTTGGCAGACACATCAAACACGAACTTGGCAGACACAGAGTAATCAAACACTAACTTGGCAGACACAGAGTTATCAAAACGAACTTGGCAGACACAGGCTATACAGACACAGTAATCAGACACTAGCTTGGCTGACTCAGAGTAACCACACACAAGCTAGGTAGACACAGAGTAATCAAACAGGATCTAGTCAGAACAGTTTTAGAAGACACTCAGGACCAGCATCAATGGGAAAGTAGGTAGAGAAAGGACAACGTGGTCTTTTCACTGAACGCTTTGGTATTAAAATGACATCATTTTCAATGATATGAACCCATTAAATTGGTGATTTGCATGATGAAACAGGTACTTCATGTCTAGTGACAAAATCGTTCACATTTGTTGGCACACAAGCAGCCTGACAGTGTATATGGACCTAGAGTAGACGGACAGAACATACGCTAATCCAGTTTAAGTTTGTTTCTGTGTTGCTAAAAGAGGCACTCAGCAAGATGCTCGCTCTATGACAGCGGTCTGTAAATAATCGAGTCAGGACCAGACAATTCAGTAATTCACACACTGAGCATCGATCTATGAAAGTGGGACACGATGACATGCATTCACCAAGTCAGCGAGCATGACCTCCCGATCCCGTTAAACACCTCTTACGACAAGCAGACGGAGGACTGAGGTAAACAAAGACTTTGCTCAATGCATGATTACACTTCATCAGTGACACTTTTGGCCTGTATGCTATTTATATTGTCTAAAAACCTCACTTTAAAAAATCATTTCCTTCATGTTCAAAGACGGATCATATTCGAGAAGAATGTCAACTACATCCAAAAACACAATCTGGAGGCCGACAGGGGAGAGCACTCTTACAGACTTGGCGTCAATGAATACAGTGACATGGTACGTTCAGTAATACTTTTCAGATATGGTAGTCGTCATTATTTCCTCAGTTACCGTCTGATTGTGATGACTTGGTGTAATCCACGAATGAGCTGAAATGTCCTTATAAAACTGATGATGTGACATGTGACACTCGAAACAAGGTCAGTGTACCATTGAACGGGGTCGTTGACATTGTACTTCTGACAATAAATGCTCTTTTCAAAATAGGACAAATCTGGTACCCAGCATCCCATGGTTTCGTAAGAGACTACAACATGTGTCGGGTGTTCCATCTCCGTGATCCTTGGATCACTGGAATGCCTGGATTATTGGCAGTCAAAGCAACTTTGATTGAAGTCTGCGAAAATGTTTTTGCTTTTGCTCATCATCATGCTCAAAATGTCTTAAGTTTCAGTCCACTAGTTATTTATTAACCTAATTACTAGGATACATTATGTAGGTGTCATACAGGGCATATTACAAAGTGTAGACAAAGGATGTGTTTGTTTGTTGCTTAACGCCGTGCTCAGTCGTATCCTAACTATGTGGCGGCAACCTGTACATAAGGTGATGGACCCTGGGTTAGTCTCCCTTTAAGTGTAATGTGTGCGGTTTTCCTTCGCAGTCACACAAAGAGTTTATTACCATGATGAACGGCTACCGCATGGAACTGAAGACACCAAACTCCAGAGTCTACAGTAACGACTCTGTCAGCGAACTCCCCACCCACGTCGACTGGAGAACCAAGGGCTACGTCACACCCGTGAAAAACCAGGTGGGTGTTGTCAATAAAACTAACCAGAGATAAACGTAAAACTGAATACTCTCTGTTCTGGGGCAATGGCAAGAAGACAAATAAAGCATCTGTGTAATACGATTCTGGGGTATTGCATGTTTCAAAGTACACGTTACTGCTTATAACACTGTAAGATGTAACCAGAACGTCATATAGTACAACATGACACTCAGATGTACCCTCCTCTTCAGAAAGCATGTGGTTCCTGCTGGGCCTTCTCCGCAACTGGATCCCTGGAAGGACAACACTTCAAGAAGGCAGGCAAACTGGTGTCTCTGTCAGAACAGAATCTGGTTGACTGTTCCAGGAAAGAAGGTAACGAATTGAATCAGAACTAGTCTCTTGAATCAGTACCTTTATCGCTATTGTGTCACAACCTTAAAGAAGTGGTCCTTCCAGTCTTCTCTCGATCTAAGTCTTCAAAGTCTACCATGGAATCTCCTGTAGTTCACCTTTCCCCCAGAAGTGAGTCCAGTCAGCTTCGGAGTCTGTAAGTGTGAAATTTGTGAAGACCTATTCTCTATCTCTTCCAGGCAACATGGGATGTGGAGGTGGTTTGATGGACCAGGCCTTCAAGTACATCAAGGTTAACAAGGGTATTGACACTGAGGTCAGCTATCCATACCTTGCAAAGGTACGAACAATTGTCCATAGAATATACATAATGTCAAAGTGTACAAGTGAATACTCGTTTCTGAGAAAAAAACTTAAAGCATACATATTTTACAAACGGATTGTATGTCTTACGTAGGATATGGCAAATATGAAATCTAAATGACCTTTTTCTGGTACTCCTTTCAGGATGGGAAGTGCATCTTCAAGCGTGCTGATGTTGGTGCCACGGATACTGGTGCTGTCGACACTAAGAAAGACTCAGAGGAATCCCTTCAGCACGCCGTGGCTCAAGTGGGCCCCATTTCTGTGGCCATCGACGCGTCTCATCCATCGTTCCAGAGTTACAAGAGCGGAGTTTATGACGAGAGGAAATGCAGCTCGAAGATGCTTGACCACGGTGTTCTTGCAGTAGGATACGGTTCTCAGGATAGCAAGGACTACTGGCTGGTGAAGAACAGGTGGCGACATAATTATACTCATCATAATAATCATCATAAGCAGTAGTGGTAGAAGGGCAATTATCCTGATGATGTAAAAAGTGATATGCACTTCAGTTGCCCACAGTTTGATGGAAGTGTATACAGAGAACCCAATACAACTAAATAACCAAGTAACTAGGTATGTAAAATGCTCAAATCCAACGAAGGTTGTCATCATTGACAAGTAACATTTGAGTGCTAAATCTCTGAAACGGTTCTTCAGTTCTGTTACAAAATTAAACTAAATAAAACTGACAGAAGATCTAAACACAGACAACAAACATAAAGGGCCACAAAGGTCACACAACATATATGGCATTTGAAAGTGATTCACATGAATGGGGACACAATTTATTGATATCTGCTCCTATTAATACAAAAATTCCCTCTGCTCCTATTAATACATAAATTCCCTCTGCTCCTATTATTACATAAATTCCCTCTGCTCCTATTAATACATAAATTCCCTCTGCTCCTATTAATACATAAATTCCCTCTGCTCCTATTAATACATAAATTCCCTCCAAACCCTATCCCATCTTTTATAAAAAGCAGTGAATAGTTTTGGCCTGTACAAATACGACTAGCTACAAACGCTGTTGATCAATGAAATGTTATTTCCACTAGTCCTCGAGATTATTCTGAAAGACGAATTTATAAAATTGGTGAATGGTAGTGAAAGTGGATGTATTTATGTTGCAGCTGGGGCGAGACCTGGGGAATGGAGGGATACATCATGATGTCCAGGAACAAGAAAAACCAGTGCGGTATCGCCACCCAGGCCAGCTACCCAACAGTCTAAGCATGGCTGTCATACCGGTCTCGGATCTCATCTCAGGACACTCCGTGATCTTGTAGATTCGCGTGTTCTTGAGTCTGTTTTTAGTCTGTAATATGTTGTAATGTTTGTATGTAAATAAAATATATTTCGTAATAATTCAATATTGGTTATCATTGTCACGGTTATTGATTCAACATATAGCAAATCTCATCCATCTTGAAATACATGTTCCAGTGACTAGTTATCAAATCACCAATGCCTCTTGTATTGTCAGTATATTGCTTTATTCTTTCAAAAGTACGTTAATGTTTAATACTTCATTCTCATTCATTCAGTATATGTTCTTATTTATCAATAGGTATGTTATGTTGGTTTGCATGGTTATTTCATGCACATCATGATTTATTCACAAGATGAGCATGATTAGGTTGAAGGTAAATCTCTGTCATTGATGACTAACAAGAATATCGTAGATAAGTACAGTTTTGTTCTTTCCTGAGGTTTTTTTTTTCGTCGATTCTACTGACGACCTACCAACTGCTTATTTAATTGCCACACATAAAGCCAGCATGTTAATTGAGGAAGAAATCTGCCTAAACCATTCATCGATGCTATCAACGTCTGGCTTGACTTTTAGACCTGAAGACATGTCCATTCTTCATTTGTACTGGATTCCAAAGCTACATAAAATCCGTACAAAAGAGATATATTGAATGGTCCAGCGAATGTACCACCAAATCCCTGTCTCAAAGATTAACAATAATCCCTAATACCATCAAGGAAGGACTATCTCTATATTCATTGGAGATATTTGAGGCAAGCGGAACCAGTACCATGTAGATTCTCAAAAACACAAATGATTTGCACAAATATCATAATTCTTTACAATCTCAGAAACGGACGAGTCCCATTCTGTTTGATTTTTCAACGTTGTCCACCACTGTCCCAGATGATAGAAAACCGCTTCCGTTGATTCACGAGGCATTTGTAAATAAACGTGTCGAACAAAGATATACCTACATATCTATCTCGGAAGGTTCTGGACAATTTGTCAAAAATATACTTAGCAGTAAAAAACACGTCAGTACGAATTCAAAATGAGATAGACACTGTAATCAAATCATTACAGAAATGGACATAATAAGCGGATCAAAAACATTATTGGGGTACAATATCTTGACACACAATTTCAAGACTTTACGTTAACGTTTGCAGTCCATTCAGGCTCTTGACTTCAGTATCTAGTGGACCACCACGAGCGGCAATAACTGCAGCACAGCGTCTATGCATGGAGTTCACCAATTGATTGATGAAGGCCATTGGCACTTGGAACCACACTCTGAGAAAGGCCTGGCGCAATAAATCGGCTGTGTTCGGCCTTGGTATGACATTATTCAGTCTCCACTGAATTTCACCCCAAAGATGTTCAATTGGGTTTAAAGCAGGACTATGGGCTGACCACTGCATAATGTTGCACGTTTCTTTTGATGCTTAGTATATAAGCAAATGTCATCTGAAGTTTACTGAGAAAATTAAATGCGATATTTGGCACTTTGTCATTGATAATTCCTTGGGGTGGGGGGGTGGTTAAAACTTTTGGCAAACTGAAAACAAGGTAATTTGGCCACGAAGTTTAACTTACGCTTAAGGTATATCGATGATTTACTATCGTTCAATAACCATCAAACAGCAATTGACTTGAACTGATTTACCCACCTGAACTTGAAATTTAAAAGACAAGTGAGACGGCACTGCTGTTTCATATTTAGATCTATGCATAAAGATTCAGAGTGGCAAAAGTCACCACTCCTGTTCAGAAATTGTTCGATCAAGGTTATAACATTCAGGACATCAGTAAAACGTTTACAAAGTTTAATGGTAGACATTTGGAGGACATTTCAAAATTTGATACATCAGTGACAAAAATTATGTCCAATGCAATTCCCTTCTTTGACTTTTTCAGGATAATAACTGACTAGCCTATACATATGTTTACGACGGGTGACACGGTTCGGACAGAATACACCCACCTGATATTTAAGTTCGAGATGCTTTAATAGTGCTTTCTATGACGGCGTTTTTAAGCGCTTTTTAATACTTTGACGTATTATTACGTCACTTCCTTTTCTGAAATCACCCATAACACGTCATATCCAGTTATCATTTCTTGTTTTTATCATTTTACGACTATTATGATGAAGTCACCTCCTTTTAACTTGATCTCTTATTCCAGTTGGTGCCAGAACTATCCACTCACTCAGTAAACTAGGATTCTGAAAACCAACTTACCTTGTGTTTGATGTACCTTCCGAATCTTCACAGACAAATACATATATACACGCGTGTATCTCAGAGTTCTCATATCAACCTGTCCGGAGAAAATACATTTCCATTCAGGTAGGCAGGTATCGTGTATTGTGTGTGGAAGAGGGGGGCCAATGCCGATTACTGAGATTAGGCAGTTAGTTTGTTTACCGGAGGAAGGCTGACTGGGCTGCAAAGTTAAATGATTGTTTGATCCTTGTTGGTCTGTAACCCAGCCATACCTAGGTGTCATCCATGAGCAAATGATGTTGGGTATATGTGCTGTAGAGGATGGTGACCCTCCTCTTTATTGAGCAGAAATCCAAAGACAAATATAAACGCGAAGGACTAAAAGGTCCCCCTGGAATATTTCCATTCTGGTTTGAATTGAATGTAAAATCTACACCAGCGCTAGTATATCGCAAGTTGAGTCAAGCAGTAACTCATTAAAGAGTAAATGAAGTAGTCGCCAAGGCAGTTCAATACAACAATATTTGAAAGCGACTTCAGAATCCATTCATGATGCTTTTTGTAGTCAATCTAGCATAGAGAGAGGTAAAATTGTATGTTTTGGCCTTTTCCAAAATCAGTTTGTGTACAAGAAATTGATCCTTGCATCCCCAACATCCCTTCCTCGCTCTCTTCAGCTCTCTATGACGTATCGCGTTGGAAGAGCAGTGCGGTGACTCAAGGATTGTTAATCACCCTGCAAATTTTTTAAATTTAAATTCAAGCATGTTATAGGTCGGACAATGTTTTGAATAATCATAACTATTTTGTTGGGAAGCAGTTTGTTGCGACCTTTGCAGAACCGTGGAGGAACAGACGTTGCGTCCAGCAGTTAATTGCAATTTGTTAACAGATGCGGATGGACGCGGGAAGCGGTTTCCAATAACGGTTTTGTATGGCATCAGGCCCTGGTACTGAATAAGATTTAAACTTTTAAATAACACAGGAGGTCGTTTATTATGATCACCATAACCCTTTGACTTGAGTAGCGTGTAATATATTTGGAGGATTGTGTTTGATGAATCTATTTTCTTCTTCCCTTTACGCTCGTTGTGTCCAGATCTTTATTTGCCTAACGAAATAAATAATTCGGAGAAATGTTTTTTTCTTTGTTGTTTTGTATTTCAATTTCAGTTTTCTTCAAACTGACTTTTACTTTCTTGACATTGAGTCCAATGTGTTGATAGTTTATTATTATCATCAGCACTATTGTTTCAGCTGAGGGCTATATGAAGATGGCAAGGAACATGAACAAAATTCCACCTCAGCCAGCTTCCTAACTATGTAAACTGCAGCCAATATCACATGTAATTGGCCACACTGGGGCCGATTGATGTCAACATCTCTACATGAATCTGTACATTGATTCATCAAAATGAATGTTTTTCAATAGAATTTTCACAATTCAAGTGCAATATTTATTGAACTAAAAGACACACATGCATGGTGGAAATGACATTCTACGTTATGTTTGTTACATAGTCATCACACCGTTTGATTACCTACCTGGGTACATTGTTTGCCAATTTCTGGTGTTCCCTGTCAAGTGTCTGTTGCTTAATAAAAGTATTCAGTCATCTTGTTACGTAGTAAACAAACGGTATTAGATCAAAAGAATATATATAATGTGTGTCTGTTACTATTCAAATATGCAATCATCTTTGTTACGTAGTAAACACAAGGTATTACGTGAAAAGTGCATATATAATGTGTGTCTGTTAGTTCGTTAAATGTGCAACCATCTTTGTTACCCAGTAAACACAAGGTATAAGGTGGAAAGTACATCTGCATATTGTGTATTTGTTACTTAGTCAAATATGCAATCAGCATTGTTGCGTTTAATGTTCAATGTCCAATAGAATTTACCTAATCAAAGAGCAGTTTACTTTTTGGGCTCCACGAACTTAAAAGCTGCACATGCAAGGTGGAAATGGTGCTTTAAATTGTGTGTCTGGTACGAGTCAAATATGCAATCATCATTGTTACGTAGCTTAGTTAAGCAAGCAATCATCAGATGGAACGTGGTTTAACCTGGCGTCTTGTATTAGTCCGGGTTTAAGCCTGTGTTATAGTATTTGCCCGCTGGCATACCATGTCACAGCCAAACATAGAGTCCTCTTAGTGACAAGCACTAGGCAGGGTAAAAACAGGTACCATCTGTTCAGGCATAACGAGGCCGTGGTACGAAAGGGTTGACCTGTCACTCTTCGGACGGACCCTCTGTCCACTAGGCCAAAGAGTCGACAGATACTGGCGTGTAGACATTTTCGTTGACTTTACCGATACTAACCCTCACAATAGAGTTTGGTTATGCAGAAATTGCAGTGTAGTGAAGTGCAATGTGTCACTGGCATTATTTTCGCAGGTAACCTCTCTTCTAATCACATGCACTTCTAACATCTTGTGAACTGCACATGTGGTGCACGTTTCATCATTATCAGTAACCTATCTTGGGTAACGAGACCAACTCAGGTGCAGAACACGTGGGGGTCACGAGATAACTTCGACAGATATAAATATTGGTGTTATTTCAGCACTCGTCACTGACTGTTCTCCTGGAAACTAGCCGATCTAACCACGGTAAGTACAGATCTCTATACAGGTAGGTTAGAGGACAAAAGTACTTTCTGGATTGAGTGAGTGAGTTTAGTTTTACGCCGCACTCAGCAATATTCCAGCTATATGGCGGCGGTCTGTAAATAATCGAGTCTGGACCAGACAATCCAGTGTTCAACAGCATGAGCATCGATCTACGCAATTGGGATACGATGACATGTGTACCCGATCTCGTTAGTCGCCTCTTACGACAAGCATGGGGTACTGAAGAGCAATTCTAACCCGGATCTTCACGGGGATTCTGCATTGATCTTGGGACCCTGGCGATGAGTGAGTGAGGGATTCTGTATAGGATATGTTTCATTTAATAATGAGTCTTATCACCCTAAGATTCTCATTGTCCTGTCATATTATCGGAATAAGACACCGGTCTTGAAATTAGCGCAGATATTTAGTTGTTAGAATGTCAAACTGTTGTACAATTCTGGACCCCGGGGACCTTGGCAAATGAGGTACAAACACACACAACATAATGAGGCGGACAGAGGATTGATTTACCGGTGCTGAAACAACTTTTGTGATGATATCAGTACAGATACAAAGTTTCTCCTGGACACATTTTTGAAGGGTTAATAAGTGCTATGAACTTACATTTGGTTGATTCATATATTTAGATGGGACATACAACCGTCGAGCATCGTTAAAATCTGTACATTTGAAAAGATTATTGTATTCATTACTAACATCGCTCAGTTCATATAATTTACGAATAAGATTATAGTATTATTCCATCTTCTTATTCGATTTGGCAAAAGGTAACACGATGTTCAAGAGATGCTGAAAGGAAAGGATAACTTATGGTTCAAGCTCATTGTCTGTTTTGAAGGTTCGATATGTTGAACATTTAGTTGAATTTGCAAGACCCTTGTTCCATGTTTGTGAAGGTGTACTATTTTATCATATAGTTAAATGCGAAAGACTGAGATTTCTGAGTTTGGAAAAAGTGACAAAACTTTTCCCTGCAGTGAAACTATGACTTTGCTGGAACTACTTCATGGCTCGACTAATGTTCTGTCAAATTCTTCAAAAGGCTAATGTAAATACATGCTTTTCACCAATGCACTTGGTCAGCAAGCCTTGAGCACCGGGTGATCAACCTCCAGCAAAGAAAACACGCATCAGTCTTGAGTTTACAGTTGGGAGAAATTGGATTTCCGTAATCGAACTTTCTCGGATTAATGATGTTTAAACAAACGTGGAAGCATATACCACATGTAAATTATAGTGTATCTGCATTAGGACCGCTGGGGTAGCCTAGTGGTTAAAGCGTTCGCGCGTCACTCCGAAGACCTTGACATTGGTACAATGTATGAAGCCCATTTCTTGTGTCCCCCGCCGTGATATTGATTGAATATTGCTAAAAGCGGCGTAAAACCAAACTCACTCACCCACTCTTCTGTATTATCTTTCAAATATTAACTATTTTCTATGCATATATCACGATACGATTTTACTGACGATCCGTATAGCTCCAAGTCAATAAAAGAATTGAACTGAACCACTTGCAATATTCTATTTAGTATATGCTTTAAATTGCTACGGTTTCCGGCCGTTCATAACACAATTTCACGAATTTCACGGTAGGGACAGCGTAAATGGGCTTCACACATCGTACCTACATGTATGTAAGGAATCGAACTCACGATCGGTTCTTCTGGGAACGTTTTACTACAGTGGTCAGTAAAATATTTCTCCAAAATTCGGAAGGGATACTTATCCCAGTTCAAATAGGTATGTGATATATTTTCTTCACGAACAGATGTTCCGCCTGGCGTTAGCCGTAGTGTTGTTGGGGGTAGCCCTGAGTTTCCGGGCTGAACTGGACGCAGAATGGAAGCTGTTCAAGGAGACACACAATAAGCAGTACACTGAGAAGGAGGAGATCCACAGGTAACCATGGATTGATACACGCATACACAAAGTAGTCTGACAGAGTGGCAGATACAGGACAGGTAGACGGAGTAGGCAGACATAGTGCAGACTGAATCATGCAGGGGTAAGGTAGTAAATAACTAGTTTGAAATGGGGTAGGCACGAACAGGATAGGTTTACAAGTAAGCAGACACGGACTAGGCAGACACAGTAAGTAGGGACGAGCTAGGCAGACACAGACTTATCAAACACAAGCTAGGCAGACACTGAGTAATCAAACACAAGCTGGGCAGACAGAGTAATCAAACATGAGCTGGGCAGACAGAGCACTCAAACACGAGCTAGGCAGACAGAGTAATCAAACACATACTCGGCAGAAACAGTTATCAACACGAGCTAGGTAGTCAGAGTAATCAAACACATACTGGGCAGACAGTTATCAAACACAAGCTAGGGCGACACAGACTAATCAAACACGAGCTAGGCAGAAAGAGTAATCAAACACGAGCTAGGCAGACAGAGTAATCAAACACATACTGGGCAGACAGTTATCAAACACGAGCTAGGACGACACAGAGTAATCAAACACGAGCTAGGCAGAAAGAGTAATCAAACACGGGCTAGGCAGACAGAGTAATCAAACACGAGCTAGGCAGACACAGTTATCAAACACGAACTAGGTAGACATAGTAAGCAAAACCATTGAGAGTGAGTTAGTGAGTCAGTTTCGGTCACGAGAACTTCAATCTCCTGATCCTTTTCTCACACTGGTACTTAATATCTATTACCATTCATTGTGTCTACAACGCTGCTCACATTAACCATCATTCCCTTCATCTTCGAAGGCGCATCATTTTCGAGAAGAATGTCAACTACATTCAAAGACACAATCTTGAGGCCGACAGGGGAGAGCACTCTTACAGACTTGGCGTCAATGAATACTCTGACATGGTACGTTCAGTAATACTTTTCAGATATAATCACATGAGTAAATCAGATAGTAAATCAAGATTTATGTACCTTTGAACAGGTCGTTGGCAATAACACAAAAAGCTCATTTGAATGGACAGTTCTCCTCGGTCTGGAGACATTTTCGTCTTTGATCTATCCCCGCTGAGGATAGAATACGTTCCAAGCAACTAATCGTGGGCGTTACACGAGACAAAATGGGTGGTCGTTCTCCATGACTTGGTTATTTCTGTGTCATGGTGCCCTATGGGCCGTTACAATATCTAACACTGGAATGTCCGGTCCATCACCTTAGGTATAGGCCGCCGCAACAAACAAAAGCCTTTATCTGGACATTGTATTACATCTTAGCAGCGCGGCGTAAAACTAGACTCACGTACTAATCAAAAACTAGTGGACTGAAATACACAAGACAATTTGAACATACATGTTGATGAACGAGCACAGTTGGAAGGACTGCCAATAATCTGTGTTAGTCTCCCTTTAACTATAATGTGTGTGGTTGTCATCCCCAGTCACACAAAGAGTTCATTACCATGATGAACGGCTACCGTATGGAATTGAAGGTACCAAACCATAGGATCTACAGTAACGACTCTGTCAGCGAACTCCCCACCCACGTCGACTGGAGAACCAAGGGCTACGTCACCCCCGTGAAGAACCAGGTGTGTGCTCTCAATAAAACTTACGTGAGATAAACATTAAAATATATATTCTCATGAGGTTATTTTTATTCTGGGCCAATGACAAGAATACAAAGAAGGCATCTGCGTAATATGATTCTAGAATATTGCATGAGGTTCTTGAGAGGCATATAGAAGTTGGTATTCAAGTATAAGACAAAATATTATGGATGTCAACTTCTTCTTATTGTGTACACAACGTTTCTGGGCGTTTCAGGTCAATGAAAAGGGGGCAAAGAAAAGCCCAGAAACGTTGTGTATACAATAAAGAAGAAGTTGACATCCATAATATTTTGTCTTATACTAGAATATTGCATGTTTAAATATACACTACTGCTAATATCATAGCAACATGCATGCAAAAGGTTATAGAGCACAACAGAACACTAAGGTGTACCCTCCTCTTCAGAAAGCATGTGGTTCCTGCTGGGCCTTCTCCGCAACTGGATCCCTGGAAGGACAACACTTCAAGAAGGCAGGCAAACTGGTATCTCTGTCAGAACAGAATCTGGTTGACTGTTCCAGGAAAGAAGGTGAAGAATTGAATCAGAACTGAGTCAGCCTCTTGAATTGATACCCTTATCGCAACTGTTGTGTCACGACCTTTACGTTAATGAGTGGTCCTTCCAGTCTTTTCTCGATCTAGGTCTTCAAAGTGTACCATGGAATCTCCTGTAGTTCACCTTTCCTCCAGAAGTGTGTCAAGTCAGCTTCGGAGTCTGTAAGTGTAAAGTTTGTGTAGACATCAACCTATTCTCTATCTCTTCCAGGCAACATGGGATGTGGAGGCGGTTTGATGGACCAGGCCTTCAAGTACATCAAGGTTAACAAGGGTATTGACACTGAGACCAGCTATCCATACCTTGCAAAGGTACGAACATTGTCTGTAGAGTACATGTATTGCAAGTGTGAAGATATAATGTATACAATTTTACAAACTGAATGTATATATTTCACAGGATATGCAAACGATGAAATATTAACAATATTTCCTATTTAAATCTCTTTCTTTTCAAGGTAATATCTACTGCTAACACATCCCATATTACATCTCGCCCAATTCCATTAATATCCCTCAGTATCATGTGTCTGAGAGCATTGTTCTAAATGATTATTGACTACCATGAATCTGAAGAGAATGCCAGTTTATTGGTACTCCTTTCAGGACGGGAAGTGCATCTTCAAGCGTGCTGATGTTGGTGCCACCGATACTGGTGCTGTCGACACTAAGAAGGACTCAGAGAAATCCCTTCAGCACGCCGTGGCTCAAGTGGGCCCTATTTCTGTGGCCATCGACGCGTCTCATCCATCGTTCCAGAGTTACAAGAGCGGAGTTTATGACGAGAAGAAATGCAGCTCGAAGATGCTTGACCACGGTGTCCTTGCAGTAGGATACGGTTCACAGGATAGCAAGGACTACTGGCTGGTGAAGAACAGGTGCGGTCATCATCATCATCATCATCATCATCATAATGAGTAATTGTGGTAGAAGGGGGATTGCCCTGATGATGTGTAAGCAATATCCACTTCAATTGTTCACAGTTTCATCCAACGAAGGTGGTTATCATTTATAAGTAACATTTAAGGGCTATAATTCTGAACCAGTTCTCCGTGTTTCAGTTTTGTCACAAGTTTGCAATTGAATAAAACTGACAGAAAATGTGAACTCAGAAAACACAAACATGTCTTTGAATTTAATTTAGACGCAAATTAATACACTTAAAAGGGTACACAATTCATGGACATCATCTTCTTTCACAACAGAAGCTGACACCTACACACGCATCTCCCTTTATAAAAACATAGGAACTAGTTTTGGCATGTATAAGTAGGACTAACTACAAACTTGACCAATGGAATAACCAGCAAAAATATTAATTTATTTGAATTGCATTTAAAGGTGATGAACATAAATGTGGACACAATGTATTGATGTCAGCTTATTTTAATACAAAAGTTGACACCCATATTATGATAATTTCCTTCCCATCCCCAACCCTTATCCACCCTATATTTCAAAACACAGTAAATGGTTTTGTTTTGTTTGTGATTTTGGATGGGACTAGCTACAAGGAAACGTTGATCAGGGAACTAAGGTTTTTGTTCACAAGACTATTCTGGAAGAATTTCTAAAACTGGTGGTATGGTTTGGCTAGTAGTGAAGGTGTATATATTTGTGTTGCAGCTGGGGCGAGACCTGGGGAATGGAGGGATACATCATGATGTCCAGGAACAAGAAAAACCAGTGCGGTATCGCCACCCAGGCCAGCTACCCAACAGTCTAAACATGGCTGTCATACGGCGCTCAGATCTCAGGACACTGCGAGATCGTATCATAGATACATCGTGTCCGTTTTAGGTCTGTGATGAGTGGTGCACGATAGATATTTTTCGTTGTAATTCAATGTTGATCGTCATTAATACAGTTACCATAATTATTGATTCAACATATAGCAACTTTCATGTGTCAGGCATACACGCTTTGGCGGCTGGATATCATGTCACGTAATATGGAACCTTTCGCGCCTGGTCGATAACACACAACCTTATATACTAGACACAATAAGTTAGGGACATTGATATTTTCATGATTGATATTTTATCAGTGTGTCAATGAATAAATAGATCATTATTCATAATTTCAAAATTTACGTCCAGTAGATTTGGTCTATTTTGGTCCAGTAAATTTGGTCTATTTTGTTAAAATTTTACATTTGAGTATTTATAATGATACGTGTATTTCATTCTCAATCTCTTTTTATTGAGTACTTTTTACCGATTTGGGGGGATAGGGGGAGAGATTATTCATGCCATGTCCATAACTGACCAATAAAAAGATTGAACATAACCATGTTATTGATTGATAACCTGGATGTATCCATATATATCATTTGTTATATGAAATATACGGCAAACGGTTATTAAAATGACCAGATGAGCAAAGAAATACAAAACAATCAATAATACCTTGGTGTAGTGCCCGTGATACTTGGTAATGTTCACCATGGTGAATATATCGCAACTGTGTAAACCAAACCGCGAGGACTGCATGTTCATGGTTATACCGGTTACCAAAGCCCAAAGGTTCTGCCTTTAGGCTGAAACTGGTCACCAGAATACGAGTAAGTAGTTTATGTCAAGGCAACCTGAAATGATCGCTAACGGAAAACCAGGAACGTCGTTGATAACGTTGCGATAGTCCACTCCCTCGATGACACCCAATCCACACAGTCATTGACAGTACCCACCCAATCCTCCTTGCTCATCCCTAATATGTTCATGAACGAATCAAAACAAACTAGTTGTGTGCAAACGGTGGGGCCTAAACGTTTGCATCTCTATATATACTACCCATCAAAGGATTAGTGAGTGAGTTTAGTTTTACGCCACACTCAGCAATATTCCAGCTATATGGCGGCGGTCTGTAAATAACCGAGTCTGGGCCAGACAATCCAGTGATCAACAGCATGAGCATCGATCTGCGCAAATGGGATACGATGACGTGTCAACCAAGCCAGTGAGCCTGACCACCCGATCCCGTTAGTCGCTTCTTACGACAAGCATGGGTTACTGTAGGTTCATTCTAACCCGGACCTGCACGGGTTCAAAAGTTTAGACTCACATAAAGCACTCACTACATGTTATATTATATATATATGGTTATATCGAAGATGACTTTCTCACCTAACTTGGGGGAACCATCTGCAAACCTCATGCAGATGAATTGCATGAGGACCATGCATCAAATTGCAGAAAACCATGTGCAAATATCGTGCATGTGAACAGCTGCGTTTTAGTGCAAAGTTTTGTTAAGAATTCTCCAAGTTTCATCATTTATTGAACCTATGACAATAGCCTTTTCAACGTTAGGTATTTGTTTTACAATACATCAATTCATGTGTAAACAGTACCTTTATACAGTATAGAATATTTTGCAAAATCTAGTTCAGAACAGTTGACTGAAGTAAGTGGCTACATTTACACTAGTGAGTCTAAACTTTTGATGGGTAGTATAGTTCAGTTTGAATACTCGTCATTAAAGCTCTTGTAAGTATACATACAAAGATGTTTGTGGTTATATTCTCCTTTAAAAATAAGCCACACAAGTCAAAAGATCCACTTAGGCATGATAATGGTTGATGTCAAGCCACCCCAATTACAACGGATGTATAAAAGGTGTGTCTCTCCAGGTTATATTTATTTAATTCAACTCGGACAATTCTGCTAACCGTGTCTACCCATTGGCCAAAATCCACATGCACACACAGTTTGTTGTTTAACGCCACACTCAGCAATAGTCCAGCTTTATGGGGCGGTATCTGAATAATCGAGGCTGGACCCGACAATCCAGTGATTAACATCATAAGCATTGATCTACGCAATTGGGTTACGATGACATGTGTCAACCAAGTCAGCGAGCCTGACCACCTGATCCCGTTGGTCGCCTCATACGATAAGCATGGGTTGCTGAAGACTAATTTTGATCTTCCCCGGTACGCACAGTGTGTATTTTCCTGGAGCCTGAATTACGATTCGCTTTAATGTTTTTTGTACATATCCCGTTTTAATAACATGCTTTCAGACTTGCCGTTTCACGTATTAGTCTGGTAGGATGGGTACAGCATTCAAGTCCCGTGGAAGTTTTGTGATGAAAGCAAGACATTGTGTTTTTTGTATTCATCAGACATGCTAGTTAAATAAAAAGTTTGGTTCCAAGTTGAAATATGGTGCAAATAGTACTTTTGAGCACTGTACAAAATGGTTGTGGAAAAGGTTGCTAAAAGGTCATCAGGTCATAATGGGAGAGTTGAATATTTAAAGTTTGAGGTTATTAACTTTATCCAAGTGTGTTTCTCTACTTCATGAAATATTTTATTAAAAGAAAACCCCAAAATATATTATTTTAAATTAACAAAATATATATAATGAACACTCCCTCTCTAAAAATGGCAGCTAGCAGACGAATTTAAGCAGATGTAGGTTTTTGTGCATTTTGTACGTACATGATCATCAACTCAATGTAAATCAAGTTATTAAAGAACAGTTATGTATGAAACAAAAAAGAGATGTTTATTTTTGTTTGGTGAGACTGTCAGTAAGGGAGCAGTCCTTATTTCAAAATGTAGTTGGTCAATATCAGATTATGATTTATCAATTTCTTATTATTACGCTTGAAGTTTTTCTTCTAGAAGCAGAGTTCTTTGCAAATAGATAAGAATATAATGAAATGATGGGGAGAAAACACTATTTTCTGCTTCACACTCTCTCAGTTAAATCTGAAAGGTAGACTGGAGCCGTGTTAGTCATGCTCTGGTATGCGAGACAGAATAGTTTGAAGGACAATCTGTGTTTCACGGGCAGCTAATGAATGTCCTTTACAGTTGGTGTGATGTGCTTTTTTTCTGGTGATCTGGGAGGTAATGCGAGCAGCTAAATTCTGTATGCATTGGAGTTGGTCAGTGACACAAGATGGAGATCCGGCCAAAAGGCTGTTACAGTAGTCCATACGAGATGTGACCAGGCTGAGGCAGAGGGTTTTTGAGGAAACTTTGGTAAGAACGGTCTGGCCTTTGATATTGTGGAGATGGGAGTAGCAAGTTTTAGTAACATACTTGACATGTTCTGTCATACTTAGATCTTGATCGATGACAACATCCAGATCGTTGACAGTGGAAGAAAGAGGAATGGTTGCTCCACAGACACCACACTAGTAATGTCACACTGCTTGTGTTTTCCAGCCTGTCCCAGAAGAATGGACTCTGTTTTCTCTTAATTTAATTTCAAGGCATTTGATGACATCTTCTGGCAGTCTGATGTCTGATAGAGAGAAATAACTTCCACAGCTGCGTGTCATCTGCGTAGAAGTGGTCAAGATTAAGGTTTGCCAAGTGGAACAGTGTAGAGGGTGAAGAGAATCGGACCAGGCACGGATCCTCGAGGGACTCCGCACTCAAGCCTAGATGCGGTTGACACAGCTCACCAACAACAACGGTTTGAGTCCTGTCCTGTAGATAAGATGTCAGCTAGGATAAAGCTGAATCCAAGTTCTGTATCAAGTCTTTTGAGGAGTCTCTGGTGATCAATCGTGTCAAAGGCACTGCTTAGGCCAAGTAATGTGAGCAGGGCCACTTGTCCTGTGTCCATACCACATCGTAGGTCATTCAGGATCTTCATCAGAGCCGTCTCTATGCTGTGGTGTGCTCTGCAGGCTGATATGAACACCTCGTAGAGGTTATGCCAGGAAAGGTGGCCCATGAGACGACTGGAGATTGCACGTTCAATGAGTTTGGATATAAATGCTAAGTTTGAAACAGGCCTGAAGTTTTTTGGATCCTCCTAATCAAGGCTTGATTTCTTCAGATGTGGCCTAACTAGAGCTGACTTAAGTACACTTGGGACATAACCAGAAGAAGTAGAATAGTTAATAATCAGCACTAATGTTGGTAAATATCAGTGAAACTATCAATATGAGTAAGGGGCGTGCCATCAAACATTTTTGGAGGAATATCAGCTTCACCCAAAGCCGCAGAAGACGAAATCTTGTCATAAATGTTCTTGGATCTTTTTGTATAAATAATCCGAAAATTACTTCATTGTCATCAGATGTCGGAAGTGTCGATTCAATGTGTTATTCAAGATACTGAAGAAAAGTTTGAACAGCAACTTTGGACTTGACTCATTGGCTTCAATCTTAGAATTGAGATGTTAATTTGTCTGATGACCGTTGTTGAGTGATTTTTGACTGAAATATACATTTGGCGATGAATCTCCAGGAAAGATTGTTTTCCATCTGCGTTCTGCTTTCGTCTTGTCTTTTTTTGCTTGTCGAACTTCAGCTGTGAAGTCCCAAGCAGATATTTTAGTGACTGGTATGACTTCACTGGTGCATGTTTGTCTATATATCAGCTCAGATAGAACTCTATTGTATAGCAGAACGAGACACTCAGCATCAGATGGTGGCTCAAGTATAAAGTCTTTAAAATTGTCTTTAAAAGTATCCAGGGAGCGCATGTTCTCACAACGAGTAATCTTCACATTTGGACTGGGTATTGAGAGGTCCAAGCTCACAAAGATATGGAAATGGTCAGAGAGCTGTAGATCCTATACAAATACACAACTGACACACGCGTCTGAAGCACGGGTAACTATCCAGTCCAGAGTGTGTCCACCTCTGTGGCTTGCCTCTGACGCAAGTTGTACACAGTTGTGGACTTCAAGAAGATTAAGTATTTGTTTAGTGTCATGGTTATTCTTGTCAAAATGGAAATTGAAGTCGTCTACAATGATAAGAGCTACTTCGTCAACTTATCCAGTCTTTGCCGAGACGGTGCCGAGCAGTAATTGCTGCCAAAGGTGGCCAAACAAAGAACTGACTTTGACGCCATCTTGTGGACTCAAGTAAACAGAAACACAACAGTAAAGGCTTTGTCTATAGACATTTGAATTTTCACCTTTTTACCATTGGGATTACATGAAATAATTGCTCTTAAACTAATGCAAGAAATTCTTCTAAAATGGCTTTGTGCGTTTCTGTTTTTGAAGGGTATATTTCTGGGTCGCAGTTTCATGTAAAGACCTCTTCTATAGTTGATAAACAGGGTAAAAAGTATATTCCCTTCTCATATTGTACTAGTTCTATACAAAATATATGCCTTGTGGAGAAATGGGGGTTTTAGTCATCATTATAACTGTTAGAGCTAAAAATAACTCGTATTATGTAAATTTATGACTACTTTCAGACTAAAAACATCTGGTGACTTACAGCATAAGAGAAATATATTCCGTAACCAAATATGCATGGTATTTGATATTAAAACCATTGATTTGTTCCGAGTTTTTGCAACTTTTTCAGTTCCCGGTTAAATTTTGGCGGCCATCTTGGATTTTGAGCTTAAATTAGCTTTCGCATCAATATTCCAATTGGAACCAAACATTTTTTTAATCTCCTTTAACATATAAGCACAAAAGAATATATGATTTGCTTTCATCAAAAAACTTTCACGGAATCCCATAAGCTCCTTGACTATATCTCCTACTGATAAAAAGATGGCAAGAACTGTCTAAATTTGGCAGTCACACTGAACATTGAGGACAAAAGGAAAAACATAATTGAGAGGGCACCCAAATGAAAATAGAATTAAATGATAACTTGACACTTAAATGACTTAAACTAGTTTATTTTGGTGAAACAACAATATCACAGCAACAATCCATTTGTAACAGAATCTGCATAACCTTCTGCTAAAACCAAGTTACAGGGGTGCTCCATCCCGCTTTTTCTGACACATGTCAACCTGCTGAGGTGCTGAAGTCCTGAGGTCATTGTTGGCACAGGTACTACAGAAAGATACATGGATTTCAATTGTGCATACAGAAAGATACCTGGTATACATGAGTAGATTGAGAAAGATACCTGGGATACATGTGTACATACACACAGATACCTGAGGTACAACAGTGTAGTACCTGTGCCGACAATGACTCCAAAACTCCTTCAATGGGTTAACTATATAACTTGCATCCTTTCTCCAAATCCTGGACCTGCCCCACCGTGGTTATAACTGGTGTGTAATTGTTAACAGTTAAATGCCAGATTGACATACTTCACGACATTTGAGTTGTCTCACTAAAGAGTTAGGTCAATAAGCGGTAACATGGTCATAACATTGCTTCAAACATGGTTGCTACACAAATGTAACAGGGTAGCTCAAATCTCATATAAGCTTAACTGTCTACACTGAGAAATAGAGAATCTCACCCTCACATCTTTTGATATCAAATATATCAACCTGAATTTAAAACTCCGGAGCTTACCAAGGTTTAAAAAGTTTTATAGATGAGTGCTGACATATTCAATATCAAAAGAAACAAGTATGAATACACAACACCATTTAGAAAGTGGTTAATCGTAACATGTTATATTTGAGTACAGATTCGAGTCAGTGTCGCAGGCTGAGTGGGTTAGATTGCTGACTGTGTGTGCTGGCGATTAGGTTCCTGACTCTCAGAGTGTGGGTTCGATTCCCGGATTCATGGTAACCAATGACATCGCAAAAGTTGTGTATCCTTCATGATTAAGCTCAACATCATAGGAAGTGGCTGGTTAGAAAACAACAAAACAATATTAAGTACTCAACTTCATGGGGAGGAAAAATAAACCTACTAGGAACTGGTCATTAATTACAGGGGTGGGTGGGCCTGAGGATTTTGATGCAACAGTGTATTGAAAATAATAATATAATTGTCATTTAATTATTGTCATGGGTTTTGGATTCCACAAATATGTGGAATACGTTTTAGTACCCGTCCTTCCCTCCATCCCCAACTGCGATAAATGACCAGTCATTTTGTTACAAAGTATAGTAGTCCTACAGATTAATTTTGTTTCGCTTTGACATTCCGGACACTGTTCCCAATTTTCATGGGTTCGGGTTTTGATAGGAACACAATATGGCACCCTCCACAACATTCAGTTACATGTGCTCTGGACAATACATCCTTGTAACTTTGGACATATAACTCTTTTTCCCTTTACAATAAATAAAACATTATGAGAATTTATGTCCTTCTTCTTTAAGAGGAACACTTTTTATGGAAAGACAACTTCTTTATTGGTCAGCATCAATTGATAATGGTGTAAGCATGTACACCAAAATATCACATCTTTTGTAATAAAGAGGTTGTCTATCGCTAAAATTGTTGCTCTTCATCATACCAGCTTCCAAATGCCACTAAAAGAAGTATTTCTTCTTTAGACAAACTAGACACAAGGACCACCTCCATTCATTGCATCAACAAAAATAGAACCTAGTATCCACAAATCCAATCTATATTAAAAAAAAATATACAATGACAAAAACGATAACATATTGCACTCTGGACTACTGCTACTGTCACTGATAAACACAATCACAGGTTGGGCTCTTGAACTTTGATAGGTTAAATTGCCCCATTCTGTTGAGCTTGTGGTTATCACAGTGCAGCATCACACTCTGGGATCTTGAATACTTTGTGGGATAGTTTTATGGAATTGTGTTCTCAGTCTTCTCAACAATATCCCCAGAGGTATTAGTGATCCCTAATTAATATATTCAAAATATTACAGATTCGCTATTTTGAGTGTTAAGTGGAACAAACTTCATTATCCTGATAAACTGAACACAAATATGGCATGAGATCCAACTTTGATACGAACTTGAAAGTTTGTTATAACAATATCAAACAACTTACAAACTTCAATGTCAACACATTCTGTTCTGATCTACCCAATACAACATAGTGTAAAGGGTGGTGTTTTGAAGGGTGACTAAAGAAAATGTGAAACAATATTGTTCCTAATGAATAATGAATGGACATGCTACATGTCCAAAACCCCATAAGCAGTATAATGTTAAGGTCCCTGTATAATATATGGCATGCTTGGATTTTGTTCCTTTGTGGTTTACCAACTATTCAACAATATTCAGCCTCTATATGTAGGCCAGTAGAAACTGCACTAAACTTCAAGTCTGGACCAAGTCTGGATCACATCCAGTGATCAACATCATTAGCATCAATCTACACAATTGGAATGCGATGGCATGTGTCAACCAAGTCAGCGAGTCTGACCACCTGATTACATTAGTCTCCTCTTATGAGGCATGTTTTGAACCTGCTGGAACACAAAATCCCATCAAGAAGAGATGGATGGACATGCATTATTATGTAAACCTTGACAAAAGTTCACTATTACAATATAAAGGAATCACAATGTCATCACTGCACTGGAATGGGTAGTGACAGTTCTTCTTGACAAGGCAATCATGTGCTAATCTATAATAGTGCATACAAATGATATGTGCTTGTGGTTGAGTTATGTCAACAAACTCCTCCAAGAAACAGTTATCTCCATTAGGTGTATTAGAATAGTGAGAGGGTCGTGTTTTACATGGCTGCAAACAGCAATTCTGCAAAATCATGATATGCTGGCCTGGTGTTAGCCATAAGCCAATCGTAAACCCCTAAAATCCCAATCTTAGCGTGACGTTACGATCGGCATACCGTTCCACTAACCAATCTTACCTAAGTCAATCGTAAAGTTAAGATTCAAAGTCTAAGTTGCTCATGACCAACTTAGGATAGCTAAAATCAATCGTAGAGAAACCAAAATGGTGGCTTTCCTATTCTATGTGAAAAATAAGAGCGAGCATTTCACCGTGAGCGTCCCCTAAAGTCCTCCATGAAATGAATTTGTATATTTCTGTGATGTAAACAAACACTGCACTGAAGCCTTACAAATGTCAGGCCAGTCTGACCACTGTCGTCATGGGAACACAACCGAGCGAGTCGGTATAACACATTTGTAAAACAATATTGCAACGTCATGGTTAAGAATAGGGACAGCCGTGAAGTGAACAATGTTCTGAAGCAAAAAGATACAAATATGTTTGAATTCACTGCGCATATTTGGTGGGGGATTCTAAAGGCAGGCCGCGTGTTATTCAAGACCACTGACAGATTCTACATACGTTATAGCCTCGTCACGCCTTGTTTATTCTGATTGACAAGGGCGGTGGGGTAGCCTAGTGGTTCAAGCGTTGGCTCGTCACGCCGAAGACCCGGGTTCGATTCCCCACATGGGCACAATGTGTTAAGCCCATTTCTGGTGTCCCCCGCCGTGATATTGCTGGAATATTGCTAAAAGCGGCGTGAAACTAAACTCAGTCAGTCTGATTGACAAGGTTCAGGCACATATTAAAAGCTCTGACACAATTGACATTTTTAAAGTCCAGACTTAAAACCTGTTCTCAGTATATTACTTATAATCTCGGTTGTAAATATTCTCGTGTAAATTATCTGTACACAGCGCTTTGAGCATGCCCAAGGATGTGGAATAGGCGCACTATAAATATGCATTTATTATTATTATATTATGCTTGATACCCAGCGTTCACACGCACTTGCACCTGAAACCAAGGTGCTCACTACCCTAATATTTTGCTCTAGGTTTTTTCTCCACGTTTACACTTGGTTGGAAAAATACCCATGAAGGTCCGGGTTAGAATATTGAACTTCAATAACCCATGCCTGTCGTAAGAGGCCACTAACGGGATCGGGTGGTCAGGCTCGCTGACTTGGTTGACACATGTCATCGGTTCCCAACTGCGCAGATCGATGCGCATGCTGTTGATCACTGGATTGTCTGGTCGAGACTCGATTATTTATAGCTAAGATACATAGCGTTCACTAACATGAACGCTCATGTTAGTGAACGCTATGCATCTTAGCTAGATTATTTACAGACCGCCGCCATATAGCTGGACTATTGCTGAGTGCGGCGTAAATCTAAACTCACTCACTCACTCAGTTGGTTCGTAAACTACTTCCGTCATTTGCTAGACTATGCAAAGAGAGATAACTCGTGCCCTGCATTCCTCTATCTCTCGCACGAAAGAGTCTACGATCGGCCTAAGATCGGTTAGTGGAACGGGTGGAACTTTTAGCTAAGACGATTGTAAAATTGGCGTAACTTGCTAAGATTGATCTTAGATAAGATCGGTTAGTGGAACGGCACCCTGGTGTTTGAGGTAAGCCATGATGCAAATTCTTAGATGATTATTACTTAAATCTTGAAACCCATGTGCATGATATGGTACAAACCAAACATGAATCTACAGTGGCATCAAGGCTCATATTGTCACTGTAGGGGTATTAGCACTTTATTACCCACGTGGTCAACGTGTGGGTAGTTGCATACTAATCTCGTACGTCACAAGAGTGTCGTATCGCGTTGACCTGTGTCGTAACGACTTGACCTGAGACTCTAACGATTTGATTGGATAACCGATGACCTCTCAGTTAGGTCACGTTGAGACGGAACTACTTTTCCATTCATAACAAACATGTGATTCTACTTATACCTAATATATGCATTGTAAACATTGCGAACGTTGCCGTATCGCGGTTTAATTGTGAGACGAAATGAGACATTATATCCGTCGAAAACATAAACGCAATGTTTCCACCAGTGATGTTAGCCGAGTGAAGCAATTGCAAACCAAGGAAAGAGGTGCTACGGAGTAGTTTATTGTAGGTGGCTGTACGAGGCGATGACAACTGACATGCATCGTGACGTCGGTTACCAAGGGGACAGACGAGAATGGCGTAGTGACGTCAATACAGTGTGACGTCATGCAAAAGTGACTACAGAACAACATCTTCCGCAACCTCTTTATGAAACCGGTTTCGGTTTGAAACCATAACAATAACAAAATACGCTATTTTGTCAGTTTAATGCATGTAAGACGTGGGTAATAAATAAAATACCACACTCGGTCTCATTTCATACGAATTATACGATACTCGTGACCTTCCTATGGTTTCTGACCTATATATGAACCTTGCTGCTAGTTTTAAGTGTTAAAAGATTCTCTAAGAATATAGGCTGAGATCTGAACCTGTGTTCTGGCAAGGGGATGGTGGGGTATTTTAGTGTTAAAAATAGACCAAGGTTCGATTCCCCACATGTAAGAATGCCCATCAGATGTCAGGCATGAGATCTGAAAACAATACTCACTCACTGTGTTCTGGCAAACCTCTAAACATTCAACTGATATACACAGGGAAAGTCCTATGACAGAGTCAACCAAGTCATTCTAACCATCTAATCCTCATCCTTACAATATGTTGTACTGATGATCTGTTACATCAGTGAGTGTGTGAGTGAGTTTAGTTTTACGCAGCTTTTAGCAATATTCCCTCAATATCACGGTAGGGGACACCAGAAATGGGCTTCAGGCATTGTACCCATGATGGGAATCGAACCTGGGTCTTCAGCGTGATGAGTTTAACGCTTTAATCGCTTTAATCACTAGGCTACATCAAAATGGGGCGATGGGGTAGTCCAGTGGTTAAAGTGTCACCTCACCACACTGAAGACCAAGGTTTGATTCCCACATGGGTACAATGTGTGAAGCCCATTTCTGGTGTTTCTGCAATGACATTGCTGGGATATTGCTAAAAGCTGTGTGAAACCATACTCACTCACTATTCAGTGAAAAATATCTGCTATCTACTACTTGTATTATCACAAAAGTACACACAAGAGTTGTCTCCCCTTGCTTGAGGGTCATTGCAGAGAGGACATCTATGTAGCCATACAGCCTACTGAGGTTTGGTGGGAAGATAGTTGCAGACATCATGAACAGGTTCATCATTACATAACATAAAAACTTCCAGGACATTCTTACAGCTTCTTCCTCAAGGTGAATAGGTTTAAAGATTTTGCCAAAGAAATCCTATCAGTCATGAAAGAAATATATATTAAGGGGTATACCCTTTAACAAAAAATTCATGTGTGTCTCATATCAACACAAAGTATTTTTGCTGATGCAGTGAAGAAGCCTATCGATTTATGCTTACAGACTGAAGACTTGTGTTGGTCAAACTTAAAAGTGACTAGATACAGTGGTCACTGAGAAAGCAACTCTGCAGTAGCACCCAATCACCTTCACTTTACCATCACGGGTGTCAATCTTCACGGAACATCTTGTGTGGCTGTAACAAACACATTATTGAAAACCTTGATTTGTCATTTGCAGTATGTGCTGAATTTGTCAATGGAAGGCCATATTCCTGGCATGTCACCTGTATATGTCACCTGTGCATGTCACCTGTGCATGTCACCTGTGCATGTCACCTGTGTATGTCACCTGTGCATGTCACCTGTGTATGTCACCTGTGTATGTCAGCGTATGTGAGGTAGTCAAGCAGTGTGCTGGGTAGACACAGGGAGTCCAGCCTCTTCAGACGGTAAGACCGGCTCAGAGCATGGTAGATACATAATCTGCAGCTAGACTTCAGACTGCGGGGTTCCTCTGAAACAGTGAGTGCAGGATAGTGGTGATTGCATTAATTGAAATAATCGAAGACTGGTCGCAGTGCCTAAATAACTAAGCAATTGATCATGATTTCTCATAATCGAACACAAACAATTTTGGAACACTTGTTTGAATTAACAATATTTTTCACAAAGTTGGTTTTGTCTGTGTCATTAATCTTACATTCCATAAGCACTACAAGCTTGTTCCAAGTCATGACTGAATTAATCTAAAGACTCCAGGACATTTATGTTCCTAACATACTAGCCATCCTTTAAAGATGCGAAATTTGCAAGAGCATTTTGTGCAATTTGCAAAAAAACCCAAAGAACTACGTTTTTTCTTTATTTTGTGCAATAACAAACATAACAGAAAAATTTGATAAATGATGCTAACCAATTATTTTCTATGATTGATCGGTTGTAATCACCCAATCATCAGTTATGAGATTTTAACCAATTCCCAACACTAGTGCAGGCTGCTTAACATCAAAGTTTGCAATATACCAGCTATACATATGATCATTACCAGATAGGCAAATGAATGAAAGCACGAGCAACAATACACTATTATTGGATTACAACAACAAGCAACCTGACAAATTCAATCCCCACACCGCTCAATCCATTTTAGTCAACAAAAGTACGTTTCTGAGCACCAATTTCACCCCAAAATCCCCATCGGAAATCTCTGCAACAGAGATTGGAGGACTACAGGAGAGATCAAAATTTAAGAGTTTAAATATGCAACTTTCCTTTCATGTATATTATTCACCTATGACATTAATATTTCAGTGAGTCACATCTGATTTATACTGCAGTCAACAGCTATATCATCAAAACTGCTAAATAGCTGATTGTGGTCTGTGAATTAACAATCAATCACAAAAAATGCCACGTTAACCCAGTCACCAGTTTGACCATATATGTGACATATAGACAATTTTCCCCCAGGGTCTTTAAATATAAAACATTTCAACTGGAATATAAATACTTTACATTGCTTCAGATTCTGCTCTGATCTGAGTGATGGAGTCAGTTGAGTCTCATGATGCTTTGAAAAGTCTCAGTTATGTCAATACTTACAATTAGAGCCAGACACAGCTTTTGGTCTGTTAGTCTGAGACTATTATTATTATTACACTAATATTTGTATAGCGCCGAAAATCCAGCTCAGTTGCTCAAAGGCGCTTTGTCTAGTAACAATCTAGCCAGACTAGTTGTCTAATTCCTGGATACAGTTATTTAACGTAATCCTTAGACTGAAAATGACTGACTGACTGACTGAGTTTGGTTTTACGCTGCTTTTAGCAATATTCCAGCAAAATCACGGCGGGGGACACCAGAAATGGGCTTCACACAATGTACCCATGTGGGGATTCGAACCCGGGTCTTCGGCGTGACGAGCCAACGCTTTAACCACTAGGCTACCCCACCGCCCCTGACTGAAAATGAAATGAGCAAAGGACTAGTTGTATGTGACAAGTGTTGTTTACTCTTGACTAGTGTACCACTTTCTATATGAGTATTGGTTCGGTACTGACAAACCAAACATGGGATATGAACCGCTAATCAGTGGAGCCTGACAACATAACGGAAACAACTTTGTACAGTGAATTACAGCAGCTCTGAACACTGGGCTACCTGGACATCCTAAACAGACATGAAAAACTCCTGAATGTTGTCAAGACTATGATCTGCAAGAAGTAGCTCTGTTGGATGAAGACTATAAGTATGGTGAGCTTACCTCGTATTGTGCAGATGTATTGAAGCACCTTGTCTCTCTCAGCCTCAGGGTATCCTGACAAGTCATACTGCCAGGGCAACTTGCCATGATTGTCTCTGGTAAACACCGACACTCCGAACTCATACAACAGCTGCAGGAACTCCACTGTACACTTCTGCTTCACTGCGATGTGATACAGGGGAGCTGCCTCCCTAGAAAGGTTCTGAATGTTGGCACCAGCTCGCAGAAGGATTTTCACACAACCAAACTGCTGGTATGCTACGGCTATCTGGAGGGGGTCCATGCTGAACGGCCGAAAAACTCGGACATTCTGACCTGTCACATTTGCACCAAATTTGATCAAGATCTGAAAAAACAACATTCTATGTGATTGGTTGCTGTTTGATGATTAAAATGCACTAAGCAATATTCCCACCATATGAATGATATTACAAGGTTAGGAAATAATGAGTTTAGACCAGAAAGTGATCCTACAATCCACATAGTCATGTTGTGGTGTCTAGGAAACGTCATGGACATGACTGTTCATATTCTAGCATCTGTGTCAGGTCTCAGATAAAACTGTGTCCTTGTTCTTGACCCAGGCTAAAGTCAGGGAAAGGATTGTCTCAGTGATGTGGACTGATATGAAGTCTTGTAAAGCCCAGCGACTGTAAGCTATTCACATGCAGTGTGCGAAACTTACGCTGGTCCTGTGGTCCCTGACTAGTAAAAATTCATCAGGACCACTAAATCAGTTTGCAGTGGTCCTGGTGGCCAGTGAAATGTTTCCCCATTTAAATAGTTAAAATTGTCTTTATTCAAATAAAGTAAAACTCGCAAGTCGAAGCGATTACTCAGGATCACTGTAAAAAGTAAATCGTAAATTCAAGAGATGTTAATGAATGTTATTTTGGACCAGTGAAGTACAGACAGGACCACTAAGTATTGTCCACTCACTGGTCCTGTAGTCTAGTGGAAATTTTGAAAGGTTTCTAACACTGCATATGCAATTTGAAACATATGCAATTAGTCCATGTTTGGCTGCCTGTGCAGATTCTGAAGGCAACAAGTCTGAAGACCATACCATTGCTTATGATCTTGTACTTACAATTCTAGTAAGTTCAAGAGGTACATATTTTTTCATAAAACTAAAACTTGGCAGGTTTAGGAAGCAATTTTTCAAAGATCCTGCTCCAGATCTTTAACTAGAGAATGATCTTACCTCGACCATGACCAGGAAGCCACTCATGGCTGCTGTGTAGAGTGGCGTGGCAACATTCTCCTCACTGCCTTCAGGGTTTGCTCCATGTTGGAGGAGAAGGTGGGCACATTGATAATGGTTGTTCTTCACCGCTACAAACAATGGTGTCTGACCTTTCACATCAGAGATGTCGATGGATGCTCCAGCCTCAAGTAATATTCTTGATGCCTCCACATGACCTCCTGAAAGCAATAAATCCTTCAATTCAATCAAAATGATTTTGTCATGTATGAGTAGAGGCTACTGGCAATAGATCTCCTAGCCTTGAACTGAATGTGTAAACTTGGTGTGGGGCGTGGTGGTCGAGCTGGCTAAGGCGCCAGGCTAGTAATCCAGCGAGCTTGAGGTGTCACAACCCCGTGGTGTATTGGTAAGAGCCCGGAGAGCGGAAGGTCGCGGGTTCGATCCCCGACCCGCGTCATACCAAAAGACGTTAAAATATGGTACTTGTTGGTCCCTGCCTTACACTCGGCATTAATGGGTACAACAAAGACTGGTTGGCTCGGAGTCAGTATAATGTGTCTGAGTGGGGTATTCATGCTTCACTGCGGCATGGTATCTCAGTGGGCTAGCACTATAAAACCAGCTTCAGTCTGGGCTAGTACAAGCAGCCGCACATACACGTACACATGCATGCACATCGTCATATGAGCGAAATATTCTCAAGCACGACGTTAAACCCAATTTCACCTCACCTCACTGTCACAACCCCTAGTGTACAGTATATAACCCTGTGCACTTAAAAGAACCTATGAATCCGTCAGTATATGACCAGATGGTGGCCACATGAATACGTCCAAACACCTAGTTGCGGGTACAGTAAACTTGGACGTGCAGTAAACTTGGACAAAGTACTGTGACTATGTGTCCCAGTCCATCCAGCTGTGAATGGGTACCTCGTAAGGATAGGAAAGCCACATTAACTCGGTGCGCCTAGTGGTTGCAAGAGTTGTATGCTCCCCCAGGGAGTTGAGATTGATATACGAAGGCCGTTGACACTGACATCCTATGATCGAGGGAAAAACAAAGCGCCTGTGAGCAGCCAACCTGGAACTCGGCGCTATATAAATAGATTATAATATAATAAAATAAGGTTGTTGCATCTGATTTGGAGCGCAATAATGCGTCTGCCTATCACGCTGAAGGCCTGGGTTCCATCCCCGGTGGAGGCACCTTGGTTCGGGTCCAGGTGGGCACATTTGCATAGTATCCCTGGTCGGAAAGAGTTCCATACATACCCCCTGACTATTTTATGATTTTTTTTTTTTAAAAAGGGCGCTTTCATGTATGTAAAAAGGTTTTTTATCTCATTTTCAGTTTGTTTTCCATTTTATGGACCTCTCCCATGTTATTAAGGTACTTTTCATTACTTACATATCTTTTCTGTGTAGTTTTTTAAAATTTAGATGGGGGTACGTAAGGAACTCAAACCAGGAATCACCATAATCATCAATCAACAGCTGATCAATGACATCATTTTCTAATGCGTAAATGACTTCTTGTGGTGTGGCTGAGCTTTGTTTTACTGTGGTAAGGAGTCACCACTGAAGTCAGTGAAGACACTACTTAATGTTTGGCCGATAATCTAATGCCAAGGGCTATAGTACTATACCAGTGGCGGCTAGTCTCAGTGGTGTGCATCCCAAATGATTCCGCTTGTCAATCTGGTCTTTGTAGATGTCTTGAACGAGCAGTTTCCGGAGCGTGTGTGTGTCGCCGCAATGCGCACTCTCGTGCAGCGCTGAGTCCGCTGTCTGGAACTGACAGTCATAGAACCGCGCTGCAATGGCATGGCTGATCATCCAGAGGGCACAGTTTGTCGGGAGTCTAATAAATGTCGGAGCAGTAAACTCCAACCAACGAAGACATCTGCGTTGTTTACTTTTCGATTCGCCAAAGCCATGTATACTCAATACAGCATGTTGATATCCAGTGAGTGCACCAGGCATACAAAAGAATTCGCAACCTTCGCTGCGTGGAGCTATAATTGTTGGTTTAGAGTTACCTCCCCATTTTTCAGAATAGATGAAACGCCGTATAATATACGGTTCTGTATCAACGCAGGTGAAACGGATTGCTGGTATGGGAAAACTGTTTTATATACTAGAAATGTTTTTAATTAGCTAGGAGTAATTGTATTTATGTTGATTTGTATTAATGTTGATTGGTCTGCACCGTATATGTTCGTGTATACGTCGTGCAGATGAAGCTGTACAGCTGTGCAGGGCCCCGTTTCACAAAGCGATCTTAGCGTTACGACTGTCGTCGTATGGCTATATTTTAAGACATGTTTTACGTGATATTACATACCAGCCTGTATTTATATGTTGTCTAAGAAATGTTTTACAATTGTTTCAGGATTTAAATTAAGTATCAAGAATAAACTAATAGTGCGAACAACACCTGTGACTGTTGATGTCATGGAACAGTCCAGGTTTCATTTACCATTTATCTTTGTTGTTCGTTGATTTCATGCCGACTGTCTTGTTTAAGGGTCTACTTTCCAGTTAACTTATTGTTTCAACTTGGTAATGGCCACGTAACAAGTTCAGACTTCAGAAGCGAACCCTCAGCTGAATGTGAGCTTCAGTACCTCAAACACCAAATGAACGCATGAACTATCTTGGATAGACAAACACAAGGAATATATGAAACACTTAATTATTTTCAGAGTGAGTGAGTGAGTTTAGTTTCACGCCGCTTTTAACAATATTCCAGCAATATTACGACGGGAGACATAAAAAATGAGCTTCACACATTGCACCTATGTGGGAAATCGAACCCGGGTCTTCAGCGTGACGAGTGAACACTTTAACCACTAGGCTTCCCCCCACAAGGGATGTAACAAACTCTTAATTATTTACAGAGTAAGTGAGTGAGTTTAGTTTCACGCCGCTTTTAGCAATACTCCAGCAATATCACAGCGGGGGACATCACATTGTGCCCATTTGAGGAATCGAACCCGGGTCTTTGGCGTAACGAGCGAACGCTTTAACCACTAGGCTACCACACCGCCCCAATTATTTTCAGAGCAAATTGTGTGAGAGGCGTATGCTAGCGATGAGACAGGGTCCGTTTTCGCTACGTTTTTTATTGATTCGATAATGCTATTTTACCAACCGATTTATCACTTTCTTTTTGGGGGGACGGTTGGGTAGCCTTGTGGTTATTAAAGCTTTCGCCAAAGGCTAGGTTTCGATTCCCCACATGTACAATATGTGATGCCCATTTCTGGTGTCCCTCGCCGTGATATTGCTGGAATATTGCTGAAAGCGGCGAAAACCTTAACCGACTCACTTACTTTATGAAATTGTTTCTGACAGTCGTCTCCAATCCTCTCCAATCTCTTGTATTAACAATCTTCCTCACTAACAATGGTTTTCACAAGTAACAGAAGAAGTAATTTTAGTGATACATTCATTGCCCAGTAACAGGCCATAACCGAAATTAGTTGACTTTAAAATTAAAATAAACATTAAATTTTCCTTTCACACTATGTCTAAAATTATAATCAGATAAGACGGCTTCCGGTCGACAGGTCGAAATATTTAATAGACACTTTAAACTGACCAATGGTTTTGTCACGTGACATACGTAACATCAGGAATGGCAGCCTGAGGTCAGGCTTTTATCTTAATACATTTCTCTTAGACTAGCAGTCAGAACTGTATTCATGAAAATCTCGAGCATCAAACATACTTTGAATAAAAGGTACCTAATTGAATAATTTTCAGCCTTAGTGTCACAAAAAATAATAGTTTCTTTTTTCTTGATATTGTAACAAATAATTTTCATCCAAATGCAAATGAACTATTTTTTTTAGTTATAAGAGTAAATCTGTTATATGTTATCCATACACTCTTCACAAAAGAAACGCACGGGCTTTTCAGCAGTTCATTTCGAATATTTTGACAGCAATCGTCATTAAGACTATTCCTATGTCCACACATGTGCAGTGAGTGAACTGAATTTATGCCGACAATCACATCAATACATATGTTCATCCGTATGTCGAATTTCCTTCATCAATGTACAAGCTTAATTGAGTGAGTGAGTGAGTTTAGTTTTACATCGCACTCAGCAATATTCCAGCTACATGGGTTACTGAAGGGTTACTGAAGATCAATATTCTAACCCGGACCTTCTCGGGTGTTTAAAACAGTAACGTTAAATGGATGCAAACATGTCACAGGAAATGTTTGTTTGTTTGTTGCCGCACTCAGCAATATTCCAGCTATATGGCGGCGGTCTGTAAACAATCGAGTCTGGACCAGACAATCCAGTGTTCAACAGCATGAGCATCGATCTGTGCAATTGGAAACCGATGACATGTGTCAACCAAGCCAGCGAGCCTGACTACCCGATCCCGTTAGTCGCCTCTTACGACAAGCATGGGTTACTGATGGTTCATTGTAACCCGGACCTTCTCGGGTCACAAGCTTAATTGACTTATGCACACTTAAATCAGATTAATACGTTCCCTTATTTTTTACCTGTGCGTCTCTTTCTTCTTTTTTTGCAGAATTTATTTACATATTCTCAGATATTTAAGGCAGAGTTCGTAAATTGTGCTGCGTAGGAAGACTTTTTTTTTCAAATATTAGGTTTTACATGACGCCGTCGATATCTCACAGGAGACTCAACTAATATACTACCCTTTCCCCGGTGTGCAGTGTGACTGGAGAAAGTTGTATTTATAGGGTCTAAGATTAGCGTTGGTCGTTATCAGGTTCATGTCAGCCCCATGGCTTACAAAGAGCTTTCCACGAAACAGTAAAGAGGACTTTATTGATTCTTGAATGCATTAATGTGTCTGTATATCAATAGCAAAAAATACCCACCGATCCCATTCACTGCAGGAGGTCTCTCTTTCACCGATTAATCATCTGTTTCGAAATATAAGGTAATTAACATACAATTATCTGCTATTTTCCATTTGCAACCGACAAACCGAACGCTTTGTAAAAATATGATAAAGTTTGTATGATTGGAATTAGTTGTGGCTCTATATGTGTATGTAATATTTTATTGTCTATGAATCAACATGTTTCTAGGAAAGTAGTATCTATTTGTAATTTTTTGTGTTCATTGTAGTTATTTAAAATGTGTTAATAAACTGACGAGCAAAAGAAAGTACACAGGTGTAATTGTTGTTGCAATCCCAAATATGCGTTCTAACTAATAAAATTACTGAAAAACATTGATTGTATAGAACGCAACCATCATGTTTCATTTGCCAAAATGCAACCAAAAACATTTGTACGTGTTTTGCACGAATTTTTGCAAAATTGTGATTATTGTCCCATGCACCAGCACTTTTCTGACAGAGAGTATAAAACCTGTTTGTCGTGAAGACTGAACAATCACTTGAGAGAAATCTCGAGAGGAAATGCCAAGACTGACGTCGGCGCAACGAGAACGGGCCAAAGGAATGACACAAATGGGTGCTGTCAACAGCGATATTGCAAGGACATTGGGTTGCACAAGACAAACCATAATTCGGCTGTTTAACCGTTTCAGTACGACAGGCCAGACATGTGATCGACCCAGAAGTGGACGTTCCAGAGTCACAACACCCCAAGAGGATCGCTATCTGCGGGTTATTCACCTACGCAACTGGATGTTGACGGTGACGTCATCAGCAGCCACATCATTGGGTCATCGCGTAAGCCGATTCACAGTGACAAGACGACTTCGTCCTGCTGGCATGTATGGGCCTTCCGGCCGCTGCGTGGAATGGCCTTGACCTTCCAGCATCGTAGGAACCGTCTGCAGTGGTCATCACTACATCGCTGTTTATTGTTACAATGTCATTTTGCTGATAAAACACGTGTATTGCAGTGTGCTTCAACATACATTTTCCATTTCATCAAAAGGTTTTGTTATTTTTATCTTATTGGAAAACACAACCTGTGTACTTTCTTTTGCACATCAGTTTATGTCCAACAGGTCAGTGTTCAAACTGTACATGTATTTAGAAAACCCGGGGTCACTTATTATTTAGAATAGGTAAATATGACTCGTATGTTGTTTTCTTTCACATTGCACAAATATCACGACGGAGCATAATAGAGATGAGATATATACATTATACTTCGACTGATAGGCACTCTCAGCAACATTCTAGCTATAACGCGTCTGTCCGACTGAAGGGCACTCTCAGCAACATTCTAGCTGTATCACGTCTGGCCGACTGATGGGCACACTCAGCAACATTCTAGCTAAAACACGTCTGTCCGACTGATGGGCACTCTCAGCAACATTCTAGCTGTATCACGTCTGGCCGACTGATGGGCACACTCAGCAACATTCTAGCTGTATCACGTCTGGCCGACTGATGGGCACTCTCAGCAACATTCTAGCTGTATCACGTCTGGCCGACTGATGGGCACTCTCAGGCTAAAACACGTCTGGCCGACTGATGGGCACACTCAGCAACATTCTAGCTGTAACACGTCTGTCCGACTGATGGGCACTCTCAGCAACATTCTAGCTGTATCACGTCTGGCCGACTGATGGGCACTCTCAGCAACATTCTAGCTGCTAACACGTCTGGCCGACTGATGGGCACTCTCAGCAACATTCTAGCTGTATCACGTCTGGCCGACTGATGGGCACACTCTCAGCAACATTCTAGCTGTATCACGTCTGGCCGACTGATGGGCACTATCAGCAACATTCTAGCTGTATCACGTCTGGCCGACTGATGGGCACTCTCAGCAACATTCTAGCTATAACACGTCTGTCCGACTGATGGGCACTCTCAGCAACATTCTCTCTATAACACGTCTGTCCGACTGATGGGCACTCTCAGCAACATTCTAGCTGTATCACGTCTGTCCGACTGATGGGCACTCTCAGCAACATTCTCTCTATAACACGTCTGTCCGACTGATGGGCACACTCAGCAACAT